TTAAAAAAAAAAAAAAAAAGAATTGACTATAACAGTTGAATTTCTCTGAGCCGTATTATTCATCGGTTGTTACTAATCTTATGGTTGTCAAACACTAATTGTAAAAAAATACGCTAAGATGAATGAGCTATACGCTCTTAAAGAGACTGCATAATGTAAAAAAAAATATTATTTTCAGATGGTCGTCGGTCAGCTGATAAAAACGAAAGTATTTTTTTTTTTTTAAATTGAGTTCTTCGTGGTCATGGGTGGCCGCAACATCTCAATAAATGGACAATGTTAACAATCCATTCAGATGAACCTAAGACATTGATGATCTCATATAAGTTTTATCAAATTTAATTTTGAATTTAAAAAAAATAAATAAATAAATCTTTCTGCACTTTCTTCGGGGTCACCGGCTATGTCAACATTATTGTGTACGCGACGGCAGTGTTCGGGGAAAGAAGCTGCCAGTGGTACAAGCAATGATAACTGAAGACACTGTAACGTACATGTAGTTTGTGCTTTTGAACGTATTTCTCTCAAGAGCTTCAGTTCTCCTAGCAAGTCCGAACCATTGATTTCCCCGTGATATCACAGTTCCCCAAAGACATGCCCCAATCCATAAACCATTTAGAAAAAAAAAAAAGTCAAGATTCACGGTTAGTGATGCTGAATATCATTATAGAACGCCAGACATGTCAAAGTACAGTTACAGTTGTTGGGGGGTCGGTCGCAAATCACGTCATGCCAAAAAATGACATTTTCAGGCCCTCTCTCCCCCCTGTCACAAATTCTACACCCGTTCCCCCCCCCCCGCCCTTAGTGTCACGTCACACCTAAAAAAAATTCAAAACATGCTAAGTACAGTTACAGTTGTTGGGGGGTCGGTCGCAAATCACGTCATGCCAAAAAATGACATTTTCAGACCCTCTCTCCCCCCTGTCACAAATTCTACACCCGTTCCCCCCCCCCCCGCCCTTAGTGTCACGTCACACCTAAAAAAAATTCAAAACATGCATTTTCCTATGTAAACTAAGATTTTATTTTATTCTTTAACAATTTTCCCATAATGGATTAAGGTGTAATATCATTAGAAAACTTGTGACGTAAAACGAATGAAATAGTGAAACAAAGTATGTGGAAGCTTGAAATAAGGTAACAGGACAAAAAACAAGGACGTTTCGGCATAAAGCCTTCCTCAGCCAACAATAGAAATGAAAATATAACGTAAAACGCAAAACAACGAAGTCCTCCCCAAGCCGAATGTAAACTGGCCACAACAGTTTTTGCGTCATTTTTGGATATGTCCAGAAGGTGTGAGCGACTGAGTGTCACGGTACTTATAATACCTGAGCCAATTTCGAACTCAAATTATTGTTTTTAAAATTAATTTAATAATGATTTTTCAAAATTAGAAATTTTGATTTTTTTTTAAGAAAAGGAGGTGACGTCACAAATTTTGGCGCGCCCCCCCCCCGTCACAAAGTGTCACAAATTCTCGATGCCCCATTCCCCCCTCCCCCGTGACATAATTTGCGAACGACCCCTTGGAAACGTGGCTTCAACGATCCCCAACGCCTTTTCTACTAACCACAAGAAATATTCTATCCTGAAAGAATCTGCAGGCGTCTGTTGTGTCTCGTCTCTAGATTCACCCCCCCCCCACCCAACCCCCCAAACTCCCACATGCTTGTACACCTGCTCGATATTCGCATTTGATGAAATTTTCTTTAGAAGCGATAATAGCAGATGCAAATCCTTCCCTGCATTTCGTGAACGAATGGCTTAGGCCAAGGACATATGCAGTTGCCTAGCTAAGGGTTAGTGCCGCCCAGGGCGGTGATCGATCTTTTCCGCCGCTTCCCCCCCCCCCCATTTCCCAAGAAGAAACTTTGAAGTTTTCCGAAAATAAAGCCACTCCAAAAAAAAAAAAAAAAGGTGCCGTCCAGGGCTGGCCAACCCTCGCCATCCTTTTCTTACGCCACTGGACATGTGTAGTGGCCACCGTTAAATGAAGTTTCATAGCCGAGGCCTTCAAGATCTTGCTGACGATGTTGTCAGCAAACAGGACATCGTATACCATGTGACAGGTTACCAGAAATTTGATCGAAAGAAATTGTATCGACGGTAACTTGATGGAAAGAAATTTGATATAAACCTTTTTTCAGTTCACACGTTAAAGTTTTCGTCAAATTTCTTTTTGAACGCACTATATTATATAGTAAAACAAGTAATTTATTTATTCTTAAAGCACACAATTCTCAGGGAATAAACACTTCTAATGGATACGCACATAAATAAATTGTGTTTTAATGGGGGATATAACTCTGTAACATATTTACATACAGTGCTTTATTGAAGATACAAAAGTTAACCGTCATTGTCTCTTGGTCGCTGGGTGTAGGATGGGGCAGCGGAAATCGATGACGCATTTCTTTTGGTTGGGGAGTTTTGGGGGAGGGAGGCAATTCAAAATGCTGAGATGCCTTATGGTGCATACCTCAATCAGTTCCGCACTATTCTACACTTAGGATGAGAGAACAACAGAAGGAATGCTAGTGGAAATCTAGGTTCCCTTTACCTATAATCTATGTTTATACAAATCCTATAAATTTAGTAGTTGCTAAATAGTAATAATGTTTTATAATTTTTATTTTGTTTTTTGAGTTTGAGATAACTAATTTGAATCTATATTTTAAAATCAATTCCCAAAAGAACGGTCTGTACACCAAGAGGATGCTTTAATACCGTAACAAAAATGTTATTATTTTACATACATTTCAAATGTGAGTTTTAATGTCAAGAATGAAAATAATCGCTAATATATTAAATAAATTAATACATCTATGATACATCCTGCGCGCCACAATATTTGACGTGGCGGGCCGCGGGTTTACCACCCCACCTTTACGGTCTTTAAGCAATTTAACTTGGACTTGGAGGGATCGTAGGGAAAAGGGACAGATTAATCATTTGATTGTATTTTGTACCTCCTACTACCACGTTGAATGGAAATTACAAGCTTTGAATGGGCACGGCCTGGCGTTATTAATAATAATATTATTAGGGTTACGCCCCCGCCCCCCCCCCCCCCCGCGGTGACTTGGGCGGTCGCCCTGCCACCCCATAATGCCAGCCCTGGAGCAGGGGAAACGTGGGCTTAATATATGTTAATACTGTATTAAAAGTGCGTTTCTTGTTAAGAAAAAAATACAAGTTTCCTCGCCATACTGCAGCGCATACCGGTATAAAAGTTTAATTGTTCCTTCCTAGTTTAAGGACAATTTAATTAACACTTAAAGATTTAATGGAGATTTTTTTATATAAGCTACTAAATTCATGTTGAATAAAAAAATGGTTATTTATATTTATTCAACTTTAGTAAATTTGTATACGGTATCAAGGTTTTGTAAAAATATTAAATTTAAAAAAAAAATACGTGGAGGAAAATGAGGCTATCCTTGACAGAGAAAGATTTTGACGAGCACCGATATTCTCCATACTAATGGCCTAAAACGTAAATTTACCCTTTCGATCGAATTAGTTTTTTTAAACCGTACTTTAAACGATTAAAAAATGTTACGATCTCTTTGAGAATGACATTTGCGTATTTGAAGGTGAGAAATTTCAAATTTTATTTATTAATAAAGTATTTTAATATAGTTTTACTCTTTGTCTACATAACAGAGTCAGAGAGTTTAATTTATATAGCCCCTTAGCAGAGCCCTACAGAAACAAAAAATCCAATGCGGACTCTCGGATTGATATCACGTGATATGTTTGCGCATGCGTAAACATGACTTTGGGAATCCTAAACCAAGTCTTGGTGAAGTATCGGCCATTATTATGGCTGTAGCAAATAATAAAAATAAATAGTAAATGACGCTGTTTTCGCCAAACCATGTCTTCTAACCGGTGCTATGTAGATACGATAACTGTGGATGAAATTCTTACTAAGCAGAATCTGTGATATGTGCAATTTCCAGGGTAGGGAAAGGCTTTTGAATTCCTAAGAGGTAAGGTTCAGTCTGTGCGTATGTCGGTAGTGAGGTAGTGGCTGCAATCTTCTAATTCTATGCTATTCCTCGCAGACAGAATCGCTGTCCGAACAAATCCCAAATCTTCAATACATTTGTTCTTCTATACCCAATTTGAGTAACATCTCAAACGCATTTTATATTGCGATTTTTATCTTAAATCTTGATTTGTTTTTGGATCTTTCTAAGTGTCTCCCATATTTGCTTATTGCAAATAGCGAACTTCGTCACTGCAGTGACGTCGCCATTTTGACTCTATTTACTGCTGCGGCCTACAGATGCTGACCTCGAACTCGGCTTGCCGGGCGGCGGGCGGGGTCTCTGTCATTGCTAAAAGTTAAAATAGTAAGAAATGCAGATTAGCCACTTGTAACAATTGACACGTTCCTTAGATAACACTACTTTACTTCGGCTTACCCTTTACTGCTATTATTCAGGAACCACTTGTTTCTCTAAATCAAAATGCCTTAATTTTAATTGCCCTTAATTAATATGCCTTAATTTTAATCCGTCTTCACCCAATTGACAATTGAGCATCCGCTGTATTAATTTTTATAGTATTAAATTAAAATTATAATATAGTATTAAATATTTAAATAGTATGTAACTATATGAGTATTTTTGAATATTACTTGAAGTGGTTAGTAGACTTAAGTTCCTAATATATTATAATAATATAACTTAAATAAAAGCAATGGATAGTTATAACTATTTAATAGTATATTTAATATTATTTAATTTATTATTAATACAAGACAAGGCAAGGAGCTGTTAGTCTGTTACTGTTAGTGTGAAAACCCATTTTTTAGGACAAATAATTTACATTTTTTGAGTCACAAATCAAAGACTCAATGACTAGTATAAGTAGTAAAGTATTAACCCTTTCAGGGCACAGCCTTTTTGTGGCAGTGCCAAGAACTCGGAGCACTTTTTACAAGCTTGTCACTCATTGACATTGCAAATAATTTAAAAAGAAGCTTTTTCCTTTACATGTGTAAAGCTAAAACTGTATTTAGGAAATAGGAGCTAATACAATCTTTTTGAATCAAACGGAAATCTAAACATTTATGCAAATGAACCATCCTGATTTACACAATTTATATTTTTAATTTTTTGTTACACTTACAAATTTGTCAAATCATTTGTATGAGTTTTTGGTAAATGCCAAGAGATAGCACCCCATTTTTTTTACCATGGCTGCCATGTTGGTTGCCGCGACCCATGAATTTAGATGGTTTCACAGGTCGCGCCAACCAAGATGGCAGCTGTGGAAAAATAAAATGACTAATGTTCGCTAAAATTAAGAGAAAAAAAACGTTAAAAAAATAATGAATAAATTTCCTAAATGTATCCTTAAACCTAACCTGATCCCTAAATTTATCCTTGACCTGGGTTTTGACCGAATCGGAACCAGGGTTTTGACACCACCAACCCCCCCCCCCCCCCCCTTTTTTTTTTTTTTTTTTTGCTACTGGACTCTGCCCAGCAGTCCCAAGAGAGTGATGAGAAAGAGTCTCAGCCTGTAGGCTTACTGCCTAATATGACTTCAAGATAGAAAACTTATGATTTTATAATTAAGATTATAATAAGAATTTTTTGATTGTGTAACAAATGCCTTTCACATACTAGTTGAATATTAATAAAGGAAGTTGCCATGGTTTTATTCAGGGCCAGCTCAAAGCAGGTACGATGCATGTTCATCACAAGATGCGTGATCATCACAACCAAACCGCCAAAGGCGGCAAAATCAATTTGATATTTTCCGCAATGCGTTTTTGTTCTGTTTTAAAATTAATTTTCACAGCAAATGCAATCGATATATATATATATTATATAGATAGATATATATATAGATAGATACATATATAGATATGTATATGCGATATAGTTCAATATATCAAATGAAAGTTTAAAATTTCAAGATTGTATAGTTCACAATTTTGTTTTTTGAAAAAATAGTTTCACTTAAAATTCAGTATTGTGATTGAAAGTGTCTTAAGAGTTATTATTGACTCTTTGGCTACTGCACGCCAGTTCTTACGACTTGCCAGCCATTCATTTAGGACTATACGAGCCAGCCAAAGGCCAGTCAAGCAAAAACATCACCCGGGTGGATGAGACTCGTTAACCTTGGTCGGCAACTCATCTAAGAGAAGGAAACTCTGAATTCAAACCTGGAGTCCCGTAAGGCGCATATAATGGCAATTCCTGCAACCAGGTCGTCTTGATGTAGAGTCTTGCCACTGGATATGGTGTTTGTGACATATTTTAGGGGGTGGGGGGTCTTCAGCTTTTTGTGATGGAGGAGAGAGCCAAAATTTGCAATACATCATTTATGGATATGGCCTCAGTGTAATTGTATTACGTCATATGGCAACACAGCAATCAGTGGTTGTTTATTACAAAATGATACTTAAGAAGAAATTAACATATCTCACTTATATTAGTCAAGTGAATCAAAATAATTGATTCATTTCAGCCTTTCACATCACTGAATTTTTGTTTTGGATTATCAGAATTAGAATTTTGATTTTTACCTTTTTAAAAAATAATTTTTTTTCCATTTTCTAATATTCCTCATCGAGATCAGATTGACACAGGGGTGCCACTTTTCCGGATTCACAAGTTTTTATTTTCTCTCACTCTGGATTCGCCAGCTCAGTTTATTCAAATATGCATTCTGGGTTTTAAAAAAAATCTTTTAAGAACGCGCAAAAGCCTATTCAGAGAAGGCGGGTTTGCTATAAATAGAACACATACTGTGGCCTCTCGCTTTGTTTCAGGGTTTGAAAAATTTGTAAATGAAGTTTCAGGTTTCAACATTAAAATAGACAACTATTTTACGATGTCTCACCTATCACCAGCAGCTCGCATTAACTTTAGACCATGTACAGCAGCTTAATTATCAGACTTGAATAATAGGATCTCAAGTTAAGCACCCTCAACTTCGATTGAATCTAATTTGTTAAAAATCCAACTTCATTAATTCATTTCAGAATCATTAATTTGTAAATATGATACAGATCAACATCCTTATGATATCAAGACATTTGACTTAAGAAATATCATAAATATCTGGTGCAAAGCAGGAGCTCTGAAATAATCACCCAGAGCAGTCCACAGAAATTTAAAAAAAAAAAAAAAGATATCTTCAAAATTGAAGTGTCCCTTGTTGCCATGATAGACTTATGTAGTAAAGTACTCTAAATCATAATAAATTTACATTTCAGCCAGCTATTATCCAAAGATCTTTCACGTTGCCTTGCATTTCGGAGAAAGTTCAGCATTTTATTTAAGGTTAGTGCTTTACATTTGTTTATACCTTTACAGACCTGTTTACTCTAATGATTTTGGCCTACAATGTAAGATTTTTAGATGTATTTTATGACTACGCCAAGACCCGCCAAAACTACAATTTTCATAGACCCGGTTAAAAAAATATTCGGTTATTTTTTTCCAGATACATTTTTTTTTTTTGGGTTCTTGAAGTTTCTAATATAGATCTGGCAGTGAATGGACCGAGAAAAATGATTAGTTGTAATTTTTTTTTAAAGTTTGGACCATCCTTCATTATATTATATATGCACTGAGAAGGGAGGTGGGGGCTATTGATAAAGGAGATATGTGGCATACGAAATGCATGGGTAGGGAGACTGGTGGGAGTGTCAAAGGCTATAAAAATATCACTGCCATATTTTTGAATGAGGGGGGGGGGGGGAGGGTTGGGGTAGTCTAGGCAGAGAGTAGGTGGGTTATACAATTATTCTACAATATTTATCCTGAAAGTTAAAAAATAGCATTATTATATCTAAAATGCTGTAAAATATCACCCGATGTTAAGTAGGAATTGTGCTTAAGGAGATATGTGGCATACGAAATGCATGGGTAGGGAGACTGGTGGGAGTGTCAAAGGCTATAAAAATATCACTGCCATATTTTTGAATGAGGGGGGGGGGGGTAGGGTTAGGGTAGTCTAGGCAGAGAGTAGGTGGGTTATACAATTATTCTACAATATTTATCCTGAAAGTTAAAAAATAGCATTATTATATCTAGAATGCTGTAAAATATCACCCGATGTTAAGTAGGAATTGTGCTGATGCCATGTATTTTAACAAATGAACTCGCTAGCTGTACTCAGTAGTTGAGATATTACAGTAATATTTATTTAGTCCACCGTATGTGATGCATATTTTGTTGGGCGATGCCTGTGGTTCTAAAATTTGTTTCCTGGCGACAAAATTTAGGTATTTCGCCAGGCTCCCTGATTGAAATCCTAATGAGTACACTTCGAAATAGCGAATGCATAAACAAAATAATATAGAGCTGGGGAAAAATAAATATGACATGTATATAGGTCACTAAGCGCTCGCTATCTAGTAACTGCATACAGTAGTTACTCAAGGGGGTTACTGTTTACACTTTACATCATGACCTTTAATTGTGACATAGGATTAAAATTAAAAGTTGAAATAAAGTTAAGAAATTTTGTAATATTTCGCAACACCCCTGCGAGGAAGCCCCTTCAACCCATATAGAAAAAATGTGTACCCCCACGCACCCAGGCGGACCAGTAAAAGGACAATCCATTGCGCCCTTTCTTTTTGACTAAGTAAATGGTTTAATTGACTAATTAATCCTTTGTAATGGCCATTTTTCTCTTCGCCCTATTTTCGTGCCCTGCCTGAGGAAAAAGAGCACCGAGGGCGATGTGGCATATATTCTGAGAACCACTGGGCTCACTGAATTGCAGTGGTGAAAACCTGTGTCACATTTTCTTACTGTGACATCATAAATATATGAAGATTATTGGATTTTTCGAGAGCTCATTGCAACATACACCTTGATGGGGAAGGGGGGGGGGCGTTGTCAGAAAAATATGCTTGCAATGAGGGGGGGTGCTAGTAAATTTGAATTTTTTTGTGCTTACATAATATAGATTGCATCTCCTCGTGTTTTTTTTTTTCGGTAGTGCTGTATGTCGTTATTTTGTGACATAATTATTTCTTACGACTGACAATTCACCTAAATATTAATTGCTCTATAGCACATACACGTCTACAAAACAAAGTGACTGCAGTTTGCATGCAATCGGTCATCTACTGTTTTGACGCCAGCTTAAATCGATTCCACCAGACACGCGATGCGAGTAGTTATTGTATACACTATATGTACTTATGTTTATTTATTTACTATTAATATACTGTATTTTTCGATTTTGAGACGATATTGTACGAATTTAGAAGTATGAGGGTAAACACGTCTGCCTTTTAGGTTTATTTTAAAGAGATAACAGAATCAAAAGTTCAGGTTTGTAAATTTTTAAAGACATAAAACGTTAAACATATTAAATAAATTTTATTTGTGTATTTGTTTTGAGTTTAGGGCCTTGTCAGATTATCCTTTACTTTTATTTCAGCAATGAGGTCTCTTTAAATTACTTTGTTCCCTTGATTCACTTCATTTCTTCTATTACAGGTCCAAATCAAGTGTTTTCTACTGTTTGCAACATTAGCATTTATATGTATCCATTACATCTTTTTTAAAAATGCAGCAGCAAGGTATGTAGATAATAAGTTAATTAATTATAGAAATTGCATTTTCCACCAAATACCTATCCTAGCTGCTTGCTGTGCTACACTTCAAGTAACGCTTGCTAACATAAAAAAATTAGATTTCTTTAAAAATTATTTTCATTCAAAATTCTGTTTTATATGCATATGTTTTGTAATATGAGGTAGTCCAAACTGAAAATAACTATTCATGGCAGGCATTTGTGATGAGTTTCCACTTATAGATAAGGGGATTTTTTTAAACACCAAAGTTATTTAAAAAGCTCAATTAAAAAAAAAAAATAATTGCAAATTGGCTGAAAATTGATCCAAAATTTGATATTTTTTATGATTTTGAAGAAGGGCAGTTTTCAAAGGAGCTTGAGCTATCCATTGACATGTATTCAAAAATAACAAGAATACTTTTTAGTTGTTTTTGTTGGGGACAATATAGAAAGTGTAAAAGTACACGAATTCAAAATTTTATGAAAACATTTGGTATTTACTTGCATAAACATACCACATATTAAATGAAAGATAATATTCAGAAGCACAACATGCACTGTGAATAAATGGTATCAAGAAACATTTATGGGTACTAAAATAAGTACAAAAGTACTAAAAATAAGTTGTTTTTTTTTTTTTTTTTTTTTTTTTTTTTTTAATTTTTAAAAAAAATTTTAAAATTTTTTTTTTTTTTTTTTTTTTTTTTTTTTAAATTTAAAAAAAAATTTTGAAATATTTTTTAGAAATGGGAGGTTAAAAAAATGTTATTTAAAAAAATCATGTTTACTGTATCAAAATAAAATGTCAGATGTGTTTACTCATAGTTGCAGGAATTATAAAAACCACAATCAGTGTAGAATACCTTGAAAAATATACAGTAATTTACTTTCAATTTAAATTTAATTGTGAGGGAAATGTGTCCATTCTAACTTCTGGAAAGTGTCTGGTAAAACCAATTTTTAATATCCTTGTTTGTATTGTTTCCCTGAAGTTTAAGTACAGAATCAATAGCAATCTTTAAAAGTCTGACCACAAATGTTGCACTAAGTTCATCTTAATTTCCCAGCTATGGTATAAACTATTGGACTACCCCGTTATATATGCCTAATATTCAAAGTGTTACATTAGGGCAGTGGTTCTCAACCTTCCTAATCCCGCAACCCTTTAATGCAGTTCCTCATGTTGCGATGACCCCCCAACCATAAAATTATTTTCAATACTACTTCATTATATGTGTTTTCTGATGGTCTTAAGCAATCCCTGTGTAAGGGTCGTTTGACCTCCAAAGGGGTACCGACTCACAGGTTGAGAACCGCTGCATTAGGGGGACTTGAATAAATCAAAAGTTATAAGAACTTTCTGCATTTCTGCTAAGAGGCCATTATTCCCTTTCCAACACTGACCCATCTAATTCATTAAAATGTAATGCATAGCTGTATTTTAGCCTAATTCTGAGTTCTTCAAACGCCTTAAAAAGTATATTGAAAAATCAGACTCAAATAGACAATAAATTAAGTTTCGATAACCGGCAACTGATTTGGGTTAATTTAAGCGGTATAATTATTGATATAGTTGAAGATTTTACAATAAAATAAGCATCTGTCGATTAAATAAGTCGTTGAATTTTGTTTTCTTAAGTTTAAACTTTGGGGCTCTCTACTTTTGTTATCAATCACATACCTATTTACCTGTACTCTAAGATAACTTTTGTTCTAATAGCACAAATTCCTTTTCCCCCTAGTGTTAAAAATATGTAAAGAATGTTAATTTGCTGCAAATAATAGTTTGATTATAAATTCACATGTATTTTAAAAAAAAACAACAACAAAACTGCCCAACATTTTTATTTAACTTGATGTAGCAAAAAAATAAACATCAGGCCTGCTCTCCCCATTAGCCCCTTGGCCATATCTCACTTCTGATTGGCTTAAAAGCACATTGCTTTAAATTTAAAATTTGTAAAAACAAATTTAACTTATTCCAGATTGGGCTTTTAAATTATATCAATATCAAAACAAAATATGAGACATTTCTTATTGGTGTGTGCTATTTTGTAAGTTATTACCAAGTTACTGCTTTGCTCCATCTGCTAGATGTCCTATTTTATCTGCTTAGTTTAAATGCAACTAAAAGTAATAACATTTTGTCATATTTTACGGCACTCATTGAGAAGCTTTGGCTCCCCAAGCGATAAAGCTCACTTTTCCTCCAATAAAATAGAGTAATCAAATTTTTATTTAAAGTGAAGTTACTGTTAACAGTTTTAATAGCCAAGATTCAGATTCAAATGTTTTCTCTCCTGAGATTTTTCTCTCCTGAGATTCATTCTTTTTCTTGAATATATTTTTTATGCAATGAAAGTTTACTACAAAGTTTTCAGTGAAAGATAAATGTTTCATTACTTAAAATGATGGCTAGAAAATGAAGATATTTGTTCTTTTTTAACAAATTATTCATTTCTTGGTGTTTTATTTACCTCCAGTGTCTGAAGTCATGAGATATTTTATCAGATATATAAAATCTCAGCAGTAAAAAGTTTATCTTCACAGTAAAGCATCATTCAGGGCTAAGAATAAATAGTCCCATTTCTTTGGTTTGACAAAAGATTTAGGTTCAAAGGGGTGTGTGTTGCATAATTAGTGCCTTGTATTTTCTTTTTTTTTCAATGAACTACTTGACTTTACAATTTTTAAATAATATTTATTTACAAAGTTTTCATTGCATTATTTTTTTGTACAAAGAATAATTAAAGTGATGATTAGAATAAAAAATTTAAATAAATAAAACAAATTTTGTTTGAAATTTAAATTAAAGCAATATATTAAAAATATTATGTTGCATTGTGCTGTAAATTATAAAAAATCTCTTCCAGACTTGCTCTTTTTAATGAGTAGAAGAGGGGAAAACAGAAAATAATCAGGGCTGTGGAATCCACTTATACTTTCATCATAATAGCTGGGGATGATGTATCATTTAAAATAATTAAAGCATTAATTTTGACATAAAATTATGACTATGGGCTCCACATTAGAAAGATATAGAAGTCTAGTAGTTACAGGGATGACTTGGGATTTACTCTTTCCTCTCAATGTACACCTTTATTTTGTCAATTCTGCTAATGAACTTATAAGCACCCTAGTTCACACATACAAACACACACTGCTAGAGTAATATTTTATTTATTTCTGTGATGGTGTGCTTCAGATAATCATACACAGTTTTAATTCACATAATATTTACCCATGTGCTCTTTGTATGCATCAAATTTAATTAAGAAAATGTTTGGATTGTGAGAATCTGTCATGGTTTTTTTGGCTTAGGATTCCCCTTTTTAAGCAAAGGTTTTCAAACTTGTTGATGACACATTGTTGCCTTCCAGTGACCTAGCTTTCCTTTCTTCTAATCAGGATTAAAGTTATGCAATTTAAACCATTTAAAAAAAAAATATTCTTTTCAGAAGGTAATTGATAATTTTCATTTCGTCTATCGGATGGAATTGATGCACTCTATACATGCTTTTTTTTCTCAGTAATGAAACGCAACATGCCATCAGAATTGGGCTGGGGCAGTGGAGGAGAAGGAGGAGGTTGGGGCCAGCAAAGTTCCGCTCCAGGCAGTGGATCTTGGACATCCACCGCCAGTGAGTTTAAAAATTAAAACGGTGGTTATACAATTTGATGTACCATGATTTGGAACTGCTTTCTTCACTGTAATTTTCCTGCATTGCCTTTTCAACACAGACAAAATATATAATGGCCTTTATATAAAAGACCTTTGGTCACTGGAAAGCCTAGCACAAGGTGTTTGCTTCCATCTTCTTGTGCTAATTTACTTTTGTTTATATATTACTCTTCTCATTTGCGAAAAAATACTCCTAGCTTCTATTTTGCATGTATCATTCAGTCACAACTAAATGACTTGATTGAACAGTGATATAGCTAACTTGTGTGGCACGGTTATTTCTGTTTGGACTAGGTCTAACACAATTTCAGATTCATGTGACACTAAAATTGTTAGTGTAAGTATTGAAATAAAACAAAAAGAAGAAAATAGGCTTGTGTGTGCGTGTGTAATTAGTGTCTTATTTTTTAAAATTAAAAAACGGATTCCAAGAGAAAATTGGCAAAAATTAAACCATTTGTTTAACATTTTTTATTTTAATTACTTTCTAGTCTTGATTAATTTAGTTTAGAATACTTTTGTGCATTTTTTCTTTCTATTTTCAGACCAAGAAAACACGGTTTCTGTCTCTACCTGGCAATCTATGGGTAAATCAGATAGTGCATCTGATGCTGGGGATGATTCATCTTCCGTTAAATCTGGATCAACCATTACAAATATGAGCAATATGACACCTCAGTCACAAGAGAATACTAGCTCCAATAATTCTACTGCACTTCAGTCCAATTCATCTAGTCTTTGGAGTGCCAATAACTCTACACTCTCAGGCATAGACTCCAGTCCATGGGGAAACAGTGGTTCCCCAGCCCCTTCAAGTATAAACTCAATGGGATGGACCCAATCAAATCTTTCTCTCTCCACAAATCAAGGTCATAATAGCATGCAACAGGGCTCCAGCATGATAAGCAGTAACTCTGCATTTAATTCTACTGGTTCAAGTTCATCATCTAGCTGGCCTAGCAGCATGCAAACTAACACTTCTAGTCTACCGCCCATATCTTCCCATTGGCCAGGCAGTTCAATGCTAGGCATAGGAGACTTTACCAAGACAGATTGGAACAACCCCACCACCCCCATTGATACTCTAAGTAAAGACATTGGAAACTCTGATCCCAGAATGTGGGGACTTTCATCTGATAAATCAGGGGACAGCCAATGGGACATATCAAAATCTCAGTGGGGGAATCCCTCACTTAGTGCTACAGGTGACCAGGGAGCTAGTAGCACAGAGCTATCATTCGCTCAAGCAACTCTCAAGGGTCTCAAAGTTCCTCCTGTCAATAGTGCTCCTCAAACTGTCATTAATTCAAAACAAGAAGAAATTCTCCGTGCCATTGAAAATCATGAAGGATGGGGATCTCGTCCCATTCGCCAGGATACAAGTTGGGATGTGGATAACTCACCAAAATCACATCGTAAATTTTCTACTGATAGTAATGCTGGTGCTTCAAATGTGTGGAACAACAGTAATGGAACTGCTATTTGGGAAGCTGTCAGAGAAAACCAAAGTGGTAATTGGGAAGCAGCTCCTGCTGGTAACACTTGGAATGCTGAAAAAGAACAAGCTAAATGGTCATTTCCTCCTAAACCTCTTCAAGATCCCAATACATGGACTGTTGGAAATGGTAATGACCCCAAAACCTTTGGCACATGGGGTGCAGCTGGTGGTGCTGGTGATGCCTCTAACAAAATGTGGGGACAAAAAACTGAAATTGGCTCTTGGGGTGAAAGTGGTGGTGGTGGTGTCCAGCGCACAACAAGCATCTCATCATGGGGAGATGACGGTGATGCTGGTGGATGGGATGATCAACGTAGAGTAACTAGTGGCATGGGAAGCATGCAGGCAATAGTACCTCCTAGTCCAGGAATGAGTGGCCAAACAGTTGTACCCAATATGGTATCCCAAAACATCACTGGCCTGAATGTTCCAGTTATGGGTGGTGCAGATGTAACACTTTGGAACGAAAGTCCGAAACCAGGCTGGAATCCTGGTAATGTTACAGCTCTTACTCGCACAAAGTTAGATGAGCAGTGGAACAAACCACCACCTAACAGAACAGGTTGGGGTGATCCCACCCAAGATAATGTCAAAGTTGATGATGGAACAAGCATTTGGGCTGCTAATGTGCCAAAACAGGTAAAGCATTTTCTTGTTTGTAAGTTGCAACTGTTTTACTACAGAGTTTTACTTCTCATAAATGTCACTGATAAAGCCCTACATATATGGAACAAGTGGATAAAAAAGGGTACACTCTGTTTAAATTTATTTTTAAAATTTATTTTTCTGAAATAAATTATATTACATATTTTTCTCATGAATTCAGTCACTGTATTTTTTTAAGGTTTCAAATTTTATGATGAGTAAGAATGGCCAAAAATGTTAAACATCAGGATGTACTGCAAATTAAAGCTGTAACTAAAATTTTAAGTGTTTGTTGGCCATCAGAGACCTAACCCAAAAACATATTAAAAAGTTTTGAACCAAAATTTTGAATGCTTATGCCCAGTAACATAAATCTGGCTATGTGTAGCAATAAACTTAAAATGTGAAGTTTTATTTACCATATTAAAAATGTATTCAAGGATCAGAAGGAAATAATTCAGACAAATCTTCACATATGTGGTTGGGCGCAGATAAACATAAAATAACAGTAATGGAACTGCTATTTGGGAAGCTGTCAGAGAAAACCAAAGTGGTAATTGGGAAGCAATGTGAAGTTTTATTTACCATATTAAAAATGTATTCAAGGATCAGAAGGAAATAATTCAGACAAATCTTCACATATGTGGTTGGGCGCAGATGAACATAAAATAAAGATTATAAATGTAATTAATTGCAACGCCCAAAGAATTTTTTTTTTTTTAAAGTCCCAAATTGAAAATATGGATTTGCTGTCCAACACATCCGTAAAAAAAAAAAAAAAAAACCTTTTTTCACATATTATGATAGCGCCTAATATATTACTCATGGGGACAAGTTGGTCTGTTAATTATTTTGGACAAAAATGTCTTAGATTATCCCTTTTTAAATGTAATTATTTCGTCTTTAATTTCCATTAGCATCCTGCATTTTAGTCCTTACTTTTGTTTGAACTGCTGGACATTCTTATTAAAATTGATTCCAGTTACCACCACAAGTAAAACAATCTGGCTGGGGGGAGACAGCACCTCAAGCTCAGTGGAATGCTACTGTAGGAGCTAAGCCGAAAGCTCCAGCTGGACTCGATGAAGCCTCTTGGGCAATGGCTCAAAGAGCAAAGGTAAGCTAGACTTATGGTTTTCTGAGGCTCAAAAGCATTGTATGGTTGTCTGACTGGCAAAAACCAATGTATCACCTTTTTTAAAGGTGGCAGTCATAAAATTAAATTTCGGTCTAAATACCATGTGATGCTTAAGGGTCTTTGTGCCAGTATCTTATTAACAGCCTGTGCGTGGTTTCCACTGGCACTTTGCTTTTCTGCATTGTTGTTGGTGTGTTTGCTTCACAATCACAGTGCTCATTCAGATGCATTCAAGGTCATATTGGCTCACATAATGCTCAAAAGTTGATTCATTTGATAGAATAAAGAAAAATAATCCTCCATTTTTTATTGACAAATTCCAATCACTTGTTTTGAATAATGTAGGGAATTCTTTTAGCTTTTTTTTTGGTACTTTACAACACACAATTTTATTTCATAGATGAAAAAACAAATCTTTTCAATCTTAAAGTATTTATAAGTTTACAGATTTAAACATTACCAGGAACACTTTGATTTGTGAATTGTCTTGTGATTCTTGTGAGTGTAACATAAGGAAAAGTAAATGTGATGTGAATGTTTGAATGGAACTACTATTGCAGTCAGGAAGATACCCAGATGATGTTTCTGCCAATTCTGTTGAAGTTGGATATTGGAATGGTTTACCCCAGGATAATAGTACTTGGAACGACCCAGCTGCCTTGAGGGGTGTAAGGAAAATTACAGGACAGGTCTGTGGAAACAGTAAAAGTCATTTTGTACTGCTGCAAATCCAGTAGAGGAGTTAGAGGGATGGGGGCAGAAATTAAAGCAAAATGAATTATTTTAAAATGGAGAATTTTCTTACCATTATTTTCAATAGAAAATTATTTTAAACTCTTGAAATTGTTTAGATTAATTATTGTTTGAGATTTTAAGAAGGTAATACTATTATGTGAAATTATTTCACACAAAGTTCAAATGTTTCTCATCTTGGAGTTAAAGTGGCACAGTATAAAGATAAGATGCAATAACTTGTTTATCTCAGAAACATTCGGGAATTATTATTGTTCTATTATGAAAAATGATCACATTAATACTTTTAATCTGTCTATGATATGTTAAAATCATTTAAACAGCTAGTTTTTATAAAAAAAATTTTGTGAAGTCAAGTTTGCTGCTTTTTTCTAAGTGGCTTAGGTTTTTACTCGGGGTTTTCCTTCTCGCCAACAAAAATGCCTTACTAGGGCTTAGTCCATTTCACCCTACAAATAAGCTGCAGCTGGGGGGCAACCAAGATGCATTTAAACAAGCTATTTCCTGTTTAAGAACCACAGGTGCTTCATTTGCGTTGATCCTGGTGCGTTTGCCTTTATTGAGCTTTCATGTTTTTAAAAAAAAATTTTTTTAGAGATGACGTTTTTTTCCTTACTGAAATGTATTGTTTTAATCTCTAAAAGAACAAGCTATGTATCTTAATTCCGAAGTGATTTTTATATCGGCCAAATTGAAAGATGCATGGTAATTACATTATTAGAAATGTCTAATTCCTCATCCATAAGGTGTTTAAAAGCCTAGAAAACTGCTGTTTATAACTTTGTGTTGTGAGATATTTAAGAGTTAAACTAACACATTTATACAAGACTTTATCTTTTCTCCTATCAATCATATGTCCACTATTATTTTAAGTGCATCCAAAATTTTTTGCTTTGATAATCAATATATAGAATTTTAAAATCGGTGATTCACATTTTATTTTTAATGAAAGACCCATAATAAGCGACAATAACATTGTCAAAAGCTGAATTAGCTTGTGAATCCCAAATATCAACAAGTAGCTCTAATTAAAGATAGTATGAAGTTAAGATGCATAATCAGATTTACCACATCTGTACTTCATTAACTTTAAACCACTGCAGATCTGAAAAGTTATTAGTGTTGATCTTAATATTCTTGAACAAGGTATTGACACCCATCTCATTAATTTTTTTAATTTATAAAAATCTTTTACACAAAATTGAAGCTTTATTAATCGACAATAATACATAATTAATTTGAAGGAAGACATTTTATTATTATAATCTTGAAACAATTCACATACCTCAGCACATTTTACTTTTTAAAAAAATTGTTTTAAACGATTTTACTTATTTGTATTTTTAAAAGATGTAAACTATTGAAATAAAACAATTTCTTTAAAAAAAAAACTAAAAAACTTGAAATCAAATTTATAGGTGTGTGAAAATCTCATATTCATTACTTTAGATAAAAGAATTGATAATATTATATTTTAAACACTTGACAGTTTCATTCCAATAAAGTATTTATATATTCAACTTGGGTCAGAATAAATGAAAATAGCTGGTGTCTTTTATATGGTGCTTTCATTCTTGCAATATGCAAAGATTTAATCAAAAAAATACTTAGACATTAACTGTTGCTTATTTTTTAGCAGCAGATGCCACCTAAATATATGGGGAGTAGCAACAATCCACCTACTCAGATGAGGGCCAAACTTCTTCAGGAACTTATGGACATGGGTTTTCGGGTAACTTTCTATTTGTTAAAATTTCAATCCTCAAGTAGTAAATCCAAATGTTAGCACGATTTGATAAAATGTGTGCATCAGTGAATAATCTAATCATCTGCTTTACTTAAATCTGGAAAAACTTGGATGACATTTTTAAAATATGTTATATGAATGTTATGAATTTTAAAAAAAATCAAACGTTGAAAACTGTATGGCAGTTTTTCTTTCAATATTAATTTTTGTAGTTTGAAAAAATATTTTTGAAGTTTCCACTACCCTGAAATGATTATTTTGTTTTTACAGAAGGAGGAAGCTCAGAATGCTCTCATAACCAACAACATGAACCTGAAGATGGCTCTTAGTAAGCTTTATATTTATATATATAGAAAGGCAGAGAGATTTCCTTGGTGTTTTTTTTTCCCCCTTTATTTTTAACAAAATGAAAGGCATTTTTAAAGAAAAATATTTTTTTTAAATTTAATGTATTTAATTCTTTAAATAAACAACCTGAAAGTTAAAATGATCCAAAATAATTTTTTCTCTTAACCCTTTAAGGGTCAGGTTTCCCAAAATTTTCTATATTCTGGAGGTATTGTTTGACTCATATGTCAAACATATATGTCTCATATGTACTATTAATTGATAATCCCAGTCTCGCACCCCCTTCATTTTGTAAAACCCTGCTTTACGGGATATTCTTTTTACTCAGGGTGGATTTTAAACATGGGTGATATTAAGATTGGTGCCAATTATGGACATTAAAGTGTGGGGTTGTACAGAATGTCAAAGAATCTCTTTGTTTCTTGAGCTTCTTTACCCCAACAATAGAATAAAAAATAGATAAGTGGTCACTTTTTACAAATTTCAGGTGATTTAAAGTCCAGTAATGGAGGAATGTCCAGGAGGGATATGGACATCGATATGTTTCAAAGCAATGGTTCACAGTCCAGATTGTCATATATGTCTGGCATGGGAGCTGATGACCTTACTGACATCCGCCCTGACCAAGTGCCTACCTTCAGTAGTTTACAGAATACTCAATTTCCTAATTCTCAAGTACCTAATCAACCTTTCATGCCAAACAATAGTGGTATGCCACCTTCTGGTTTAAATGCCAGCAGTTCAAGTAATAATTCAAGCCTTCAGCAGAAGCTGATGCAGAAAATGCAGCAGCAGCAAGCCCCACCTACACCCACTCTTGGTCCCAGAGGACAAATGCCTCCAGTTGGGAGCACATCTAATAACCAAGTTCCTCAACAGCAACAGCAGCAGCAACAGATTCTAGCCCAGCTTCGCCAGGCAGTAAATAATGGATTTATTTCGCCTCAGTTACTTAACTATCAATTGCCACATAATATATTAGTTCTCTTACAACAACTATTGCAACTCCAGTCAGCTCTCCAAACTATGGTGACCAAACAGCAACAAATGTTGCAACAGGCTAGAGCTGCAGGGAATCGGAGCAATCCCCAACTTGAACAAATGCCAGGTATTATCACCAATATTAATCAACAGATCATAAATTTACAGAAACAACTTCAACAAGCTCAGAACAATCTATTTAGCTCTCAAAAGCCACCAAACATATCTCAACCTCCCTCTGGATTGATGTCATCTCATTCTGGTCAACAACCTATTTCCAATATAGCAGAAAACTTGGATGCTCTTAGCTCAGACTTGGCAAATGTTGCCCTCCAGTCTCAATCACGTCTTACAACTCAGTGGAAGGCATCTTCGGACACATCTGCAGATGGAACAACTACACCAACAACTGGTAATGATGAAAATGGAGAGAACAAAGCTGCAGGAGCAAAAGGCATGCTTCAGGCTTCCTCTCCTAATATGAATCTGATTCCTGGGGGCCTAGGGATGACTGGTGATAAAACGTGGTCATCAAATATGTCTGCCACTTCTTCCTCTAATTGGCCTTTGTCTTCCAATGACAGCGCAGGCACAAATTCTCAATCAGACTTAAAAATGCCTGGCTCTGTCAGCACATCTACCTCTTCCATCTTATCAGGTATGCCATCAGGTCTAACAGATGTCATCCCAGAGTTCATTCCTGGAAAGCCATGGCAAGGTTTAACAAAAAATGTTGAAGATGATCCTCATGTAACCCCGGGAAGTATTCAATTGCAGCGCTCTCTCAGTGTAAATCGTGTCCATGATGATTCATTAAATAATCTTGATGGTCACAAGCTTAATTCTGGCAACTCATGGGGTGTTTCAAGCTACAAAAGTGACAACAGCCTGGGTTTAAGTCAGTTGGGTAGTCGTCCTCCTCCTCCGCCTGTAATGTTACCTGGCAAGTCTGGTGGTCAGCAACAGTGGCAGTCTGGTTTCAACAGACAAGCATCTTGGCCACATTCATCTAATTCAGCTTTTACAAAGGGTGGGTACATTCAGTTTTGACTTTAAAAGAAAAACACAAAAAAACGCTATTTAATTTATTTATGTCTTAGCTTAACTTAATATTTTTCTCTTAAGGAGTAGACTAGTTATTTTTCTTAAGTATCTTTTTATAAAGTTATGAAAGTTGTAAAGCAAATTTGTATATGCCTGTTTTCGTTAATGCCCAATGGGGTAAATGAATTTACATACTATTGTATAGACTTTCTAAAGCCGGCTTAAAAAAATTTCGGGACAAAATTTGGAGTATATTTTTATTTGTGGGTCAATAGATTTTTATCTGTGAACATTAATTTCATCTTATGTTTTATCATAAGGTCTTAGTCTACGGTAAACTCTACAAGATTCAAATAATTTACCAGAGGCATAAAAACTAAGATACTGGAAGTAGACAGCACTACTACTGTAATTTTTAGCTGCAGCATAATCTCATCATAGATATTTTTCGGTACCCTTTTGCTTACACTGGTATATTATTTATGGTAGGCTTATGGACAGGTTATACACTTTTCAAGCTTTTCTCATACCAATTAGTGTTGTAGGCTTGTAGAACAAGCAATTTTAAAACAAGTATATGTGGTTAAATGTGCTGAAATCTGGTGGGATCTTATTTTTAGATGACCATGTTTCTCTAAATTAATATTGCTCTTATCATAAATAATCCACTAAAGCAAAGACCCCTAAAAGTGAAAACAAAAACTCATCAAATTTTAATTGCTTTAAACAAACTACTTATTAAAATATATATCTGCATTTATATCTATATTTCAGTGGGTGGATCCAATTGGAATGACAGAACTGCCATTAGTTCTTGGATTTTGTTTAAGAACTTGAACCAGTCTGTTGTAAGTTATTTTTTTCATTGCTTTGTATATATTTATTACCAGTGGAAGTCACTTTGCAAGATCAGATTTAATTAGTACCAGAAGCAATTTATTTGGGACAAGTTTAAAAAAAATAGAAAATGATACTTTAAATAACTATGCATAACTGAGGATGGGGCTGATTAATCTGAAAGGAAACGAGCAACCTAATGATTGAAGCAATATTAACATATAAATATTAGGATGGTTTTAAATAGTAAACATTAACCTTATGGATATTTTACATAATTTTTTCCTTCTAATGCAACACCTGAAACATTTTATGAGTGGAATAATTGTGAACATGCTTTTGAAATGCAACAGTTAATCAAATAATTTCTCAAAATTTTTCCTCAGATGGAATCAACGTTTCGGAGCTTCTGTGCTCGGCCTGGTTCATATAACAATTTTTTTTATCATGTCCCCATGGCTCTCGTCCAGTATAGTAGCGGGGAATTAGCCATGAAAGCTCAGCAACAGCTTAATAATCAACCTCTGGGCTCAGCTATCATTAATGCTGAATTCATTGGTGAGAATGATGCTCAGCGCTTAGCTTCCCAGTTTCCACCACCTCAACCTAGTGTTTTGCCACCGATGAACACCAGCCCATGGTCACAGGCACCTCCTTCAGCACTCTATCAAAATTCAGGAAGAGGTGATCCTTGGGGAAATTCAATGCAATCAGGTCAACCCATGAAACAGTTTGGTTCAGAAGCTTGGAATTTGTGGGATATGAATGACCACAACTCCAACCCACTGCTTAATAATATACTTGGTGGAGAATCTATGTAATTAATAGTTATTTTTTGCTTTGCCATGAAGCATTCTGTTTTCTTGCTGTATTGTTAAATTTCTATGTAAATGATTTGGAAAAAAAAAACCCACAGCTAATCAATCAACGTATTTGTACATATATTTTGTACTTCGTTTCATGAAATGTTCTAAAGTATTTTTAAAATGCTTATTGTCATGTTGTAAGTGAATATGTAACAATTTTGCCACACATTCATGTGATCTCTTAGAATTAATTATTATATGTATGCGGGTTAGGTTCAAGCACATGGGTTCCATGAGCTATCCAATTGCTTACTAAGTGTTCCAAAGGTCCCACTATCCGGGTACCTCCTCATTAATGCAAATCTTGACATGCTCACTATGAGGAGTTGACTATTTTTCCTATCCTTACATAATCTTACTAGCAATTGTGGAATACCAAATTTGTGAAGATGTGTACTTAGTGTCAAGGTTCCCAGTCTTTCAGAATTCCTGTGGTCTTATGTGGTGATGGGATGACCACCCCTCAACAGTACTTGTTTGAATATTACAGCCTTTTTAAAAACAAAAATGTCAATGTTTTAAAATCAGATTTTCACAATAAAAAATAAAATTCATTAAAAAAAAATGCTTTCTATTGGATAATCTTATGACATGTTGAAATATTATTGTATGGTGTTTGACTTTCTATCAGATAGTTTACTCAAAATGTGTAAGTGATGTTTATTTAATATAACATTTATACCTGCCATTTTATGTCAAAATAGATCCTATGTCTTATTGCACAGAAATGTGCAATGTTTATCATGTAATGAGCTACATTTTTAAAAATGTTTTTATGGTTGGTTTTAAATTATTTTCTTTTAAATGTTATTAATAAGAAACAGTATATTTAAAAAATGTAAAAAAAAAAAATTAAAAACAAAAAAAAAATTAAAAAAAAGAAAATTAAATTAAACAATACAAAAAAATAAATAAATAAAAATTCTCAAATGGCAGGATCCCTGCAACCTGTGATACATTGTCTCAGTGTGCCTGCTATGTTAATGTCTGCATGTCATTAGACCAATATTGATGCACTTAGTGCATGTGATTCTGCTTCCATAGTTCTTGACAAATGATGGCTACAGTTCCACTTACCTGATATGCAACATCTTACTGTTGTAACAATGTTAAGAAGTTGTTATAATTGGATCGTACTGCTGTAATCATAAAAATGTAAAACAGAAATGGTGTATTTGATGAGGCCTTTATGCTCATTTTTCTAATAACTTTCATCTTGAAATAGTTTTAAAAACTATTTGAAAAAGTAAACGGGAAAACATCTAGACTAAGGAAGAATGAAAAACTCCTGAAAACGAAATTTATACATAAACCATTTTAAGAGTGATATTTTTCTTGTGCATATCATTGGTTTGATGTATTATTTATGATTTGTATTTGTAGTTTTGTCTCATCAATTTGCCATATTAAATTTGTTTTATAATTCTAATTAAGGAAAATTAATCAAAGATTTTTTTAATAAGGCAACAAAATGGTCTTTTTTTTTCCCCTCCGTCTTTTTTTTTTTTTCCTCCTTGTATACAGTTAATGTTTGATCACCATAATTTGTAAAATGACTAAATGAATGTGTGTAAATCTTTATTGTTATTAAGCCTTTCCACAGATAATTAACTTTATGTATGACTAACTACAACTCTGAATTAGTATTGCATATTCCAAAGACAGGTTGGCACTCAATTTTAAACATTCTTTCTGTTTATGTGCCATCGTCTTGATTGTTATGTGCTCGACAGAGCTCGGTGATCGATCCATGCAGTGTTCCAATGAGTATTATTGTCTTAATATGGTCATTTAAATACAATTACTGCACATATCCTCTACTTGCCTTCATTTGTTGATATTCAAAACAGTTCACCTTAGATTATTTAACAATTAACTCCCTATTTAAACAAAAATTTGTAATGTATTTGACTTTTATGTCTTGTCTTGAGCCAAGAACAGGGAACATACATATAGAAAAACCTATTGCTTTTTCTGAATCTTTAAAGAAAATTTATTTGCAACAAATATTCAAATAAATTTCGTTTGTAGACAGGGGAAGGGTGCTGACCTATTAGAAAGCATTACATATTCTACCTCTGAAATTAATAAATGTAATAGCAACATATCAGTTATAGAAATCCAAGTCTTGTATATGGTCTAAGAAACAATGGAAACTGCTCTTAGGATTCTCTTCCCTGAATTAGATGCAATTTCTTTTTATATTTCACCAATTAACTTAGATCTGTAGCTTTTGTTTGAACAAAGATTGTGATTTGTTTGAACAAAGCTTGTGATTCCCCCCCCCCCAATTTGTTTATATCTTAAAGGTGGATTTAAAATATTGACATGTATTTTTTAAAGTACCAAGGGTAATATAATGGACATAGAAAGCGATATCAAAGTCATTATAAGGCAATAAATTTAAGTATTCAATAAAATGCTACAAGTTAAATAAGTGATGGCTCCATAATAAACATATTTATTTTAGCAAATTAATATGAACAAAGAAGAAAAAAAAGCATTTCCCTCCCAAGTGACAGATTTTGTTGGTTTGCTTAAATTTAATGGCAGGAATGTAAATGTAATCTATTAAATTGTAACAATATATCATGTGAATGCTCAATAAATTAATACAATGTCATACTTTGTGCAATGTCCTCTCAACTTAATTGAATTAGTGTTATTTAACTAGCTCCTCCCAGAATTAGCATTGAATTTCTTGTGTTGACTTAAACATTTTTTTGTTCTATGCACGGTGCTGTTGTGCTCATCTATGAATGTAAATTCAGTAATTTAACAAATTGGAACAATATAATTTACAGTTTTTAGAACTGGCAGATACATTAAGCACTTTTAAATGGATTTTTTTTTTTTAATATAAAAAGGATGACATAGGACTTGATGGATGTTTAAACTGCAAATTTTGAAATCTATATATCTTTACTAAAAATGGTTTACAATCATATTTATATATAGTATATGTTAATCAAATAAACACTAACCACTGAGTGGAGAAGATGTCAGCCCCGTTTCATCTCTTTGAATTTCCATGTTATTTAATTTTAAGCTAGCTTTTTATATGTAACAGAATTATTTACAAAGCTTCAACTAACCAAGATAGTACTACTGAGCTGCAATTGTCATGTCAAAAAGGCCAGTTTTATGTATTAAGAAGGTACGACATACAATACATCCAAACCTGTGGATATTTTTTTTACATTTATTTGTATATTTCAAAACAGTTAACAAAATTTTGCAATGTTTTGCTATACTTATATAGCAAGAATTGTTTAATCTGTGGTTTTGATAAATCCCTGTCAAGAATTGATTAACCCTTTTGAAACGCTGAATGTTTTAAGTAGAGAAGAAAAGTTTTATAGGCGATTTTAGATGGAATTCTACTGTATAACAATTCAGACAAAAAAAATCAATCGCATCAGAAAGGTAAAATATATTGGGAACAACTTTTGTATTACTAATAAAGCTTCCCTTAGAAAGCAAACGTAGAGTTAACAGCAATAGCCTACATTGATCTAATGTGCAATCTGCTGTGCCTTCTGTAATAGATCAGGTATATTATATTTATAAACAAAATTATTACCCATTAATCATGCCATAAGAGTAAGATTGCCTTTGCTAGTCATTCAAATATGTCAATGGTGCAGTAGTCAAAAATAATTTGTTAGTTCAGTGCATCTGTCTTATTTTTGTTGTATAAGTAACTTATTATTTGTAAGAACAGTGCACATCATCAATTGACTATAAAAAATACTATGTGTAAATTAAGGATCTTTTTATATAAAATGCTGATCTTAAAATCGATTTTCAGATATATAAATAGTAAAAATTTTAAACTGAATTGTTGTATTAAAGAATCAAATGGGGAATCCTTTACCTCATGTATGCAAGTTCTTTTTCCTCATCATTCGCAACAAAAAGTGAAGATCAAACCACCAAATTTTCTCTCTACTTGGAACTGTGATGGTGTTACTTATTGCTATTCTTCTAAACTTGCATTCCACATGTTTATTCCCCCATCCCCACCCAATTCACTAGTGTAATCATATCTTTAATTTCTTTTTTAAAGGTCAGTATTGCTCAGTCTTGATTCTGCTACCCCCTTAACTAAATATTCTTTACCATAGCATTTTGATGACCATGACATTTCATTTTCCAAGTTGTCACAGATCTTGTCACACCATTCCCTCCTGCAGTATTATTCACTGTACTAGATACATTTTCTCATCACTTTTGAAAACTTTGTTTGCATTTGTGGCTTTAAATAAACATGAGCTGCTGTTCCCTTTATGTATTGGTGGACAGCCAATTCCATTAATCTATGCTATGATTATGTAAATTTAGCTGCTGTATTATTTATAAATGTATTGCAGGGACAGTCAGTCCCAATTAAATGTACAACTTATATACTCTAACATGCTGTTATAAGCTATTATGTATTTGGATGGCTTGAATTTCAACTGCATGCTGTGGTCATCTGTCATTACAATAGTGATTATCAAAAAAAAAAATTAATAATTTGGCAGCCAAATCGATATTTGTTCTAAAAAATTTGTTCCATATTTTTACAATGTATTTGTAAATGTTCATGTAACTTTTTCAATTGGCTTTTCGAGGATTGCTTTGTAAATAATAATGTTAATGATGTTATAGCTTTTGAAGCAAACTTTGCAAATTGAAAACTGTGAATTAAAAATTATGTTTAACTTATTAACTAGATTGCATTTTAATTGACAATGTTTTATGTAAATTGTATGAGTTATTTGTGATGCTTTAACTTGTATGATTGAATGATAAATGTACCAGTAATCTATTTATTTTTTCATGTTATTCATACCATCTATTCATGTTTTGCATACCATAAATCTATAGACATATACTTACAGCAGTAATTAATGGCCAATTTTTTTTTTTTTTAAATACAAAGCTTAATGAGTTGGATTGGATTTTAAAAAATTGCCTTTGCTGAAGTATTTATAATTTGAGGCTAAAATGGCTCTTACATTTAAAAATCCCATTATTTTGTTTTGGATCTGTTCTTACATTTTTTAAAATGACAACTCGACAGTTGTTTGCATTGTTGTGAAACCACTGAGAGTCAATGTAGTTGTGTCATCTGCCTTTATGTAATAATTTTTATTATCCTTATTAGTTTTAGATTATTTTTAACATTTTTATTATGACACCTAAAGTACTAAGAGCATTAGGTGATGCCCACCATTAATAATATGCTTTCATTTGTGCTCATGATTATGTTTCAAGCAAATTCCATTTGGTTGCATTTTTTTTTTTTATTACAGACACATTTTTTTCCATCTTTTTTTGTACTTCAAACAAATGGGTTATGCAATAAGTAAATCCACAAATCTTTCAATTAGTTGATACTCATTACTAAGTTCACCATGTGAATACTAGTCTTCTGTGAAGCCAAAATAAATGTCTCCTACACCAACGATGAACCTCTTAAGGTACCAATTTATGTTATTTCGTATTCTGGTCGCCGTTAAAAAAATATTCTTGACAAGATATAGTTCGGTATCCCCCTATTTTTATAGAGAATCACTGTATTAGGCTGGAATGTAGTAATCATTTGAATAATTATTACAATTTAGGGCACTATGATTAAAGTGCATTCTATTTAAAATAAGCCATTGGATAAGACTTAAAATAAATAATTCTTTATGCTTTTAATAGATTTTTCTGTATGCGTTTCCTATAATTTCAAATAATTCAATTTCATTTTTAGTGCATTGTTTAAAGAAATAAATCAATGCAATGTACTATGTAGTGAGTTACAATGTACAGATGTGTTTAGCATACTGGTTCATTGAAAAAGATGTTCTTCTTCTCAAAGAGTAAAATTAATTTCTACAGAAAGCTTTGTTTATGTAAATTAGAGATTTTTTTTTTCATAATGGACTGTCCACTGAGGAATGTCTGTTGTATATAATCTGCGGGTTGTCATATGTTGACTTCCTTTGAATCTAAAGGCATTTGTAACCTTCTTATTCCTCTCAAGTGGAGAATGNGGGGGGGGGGGGGGGGGGTTTTGCTTAGGCCTTTTTGTGCCTTTAAATAAGTTGGTTTAGCTACAGACAAAAAAAACATTCACAGGACAGCAAATATGTATAACATTCAGACCAGAGTTTTGTGTCACAACCATCATTCCTTATTGCTAACTTGTAAATATTCTTATCTCTCCCTGTATGACGTATAATCTAATAATGTATATAACATATTTTTTCACCTAACTTAATTTGCACCATTGATAAATTATCTGAAGATATAGTGAAGTTTCTGGATTTACAACTCATTTCCTACCTAAATATTCTGTCCCGTTGAATTTTAGGTTGGGCTTTATCTTGAGTTAACATAGTGTGTCATAGATATTAATTTACTCCAACTTGTAATAATATTTTACAACTTGTAATAATATTTTACATACATGTTCACATAAAGGATATCGCTGTAATTAAAACATATTTTTTTTTAAATTTTGAAGCACTTGGTAAAAGTCAAATTTATTTCTGACAACAATCCATTTGTTTATATTTAAATTATAACCATATTGAAAGCTCAAGCAGTCTTTAAAAGGTTGAAAAATTCTTGTACACAATACTACATATAACTCAAACTGAAGTTGCCCGCCCTTACACATAAAAAAAAACATTTAAAAATCCACATATCTATCTAAATAATACAAATCTAGAGATTAATGTGAAAATTTAATATTTATATGTCTCACTAAATGTTAAATTTAGTTTGCTATTTTCTCCCTAAACAGTTATTAGCATAATACCAAGTATAGCTTCATGTACACCCCTTGACCTCAGGGTTACAGAAATGTATTATTGTGTATTCAGTGAAAACAAATTAAATACTTCATACTTTTCAAAACTTTAGCATGATGTACAAAATGTCTTATTGCACCAAATTTAGACATGATTAACCAATATAGAATCTCATTCTTCCCAAGTTGCTTATTATAATTAATAAGTATTAAAATATTGTTCTGAAGTCTAAGATTTGGGCAGCATATTCAGTCTTTAAATAATGGCTGCATCTAGTCCTATTGTGAAATTATGCATTTCATTTGTACTGTTGAAATGTAGGGCTATATGGCAGAAATGAAAAAAAAACAACTTAAGGGTTATTGTACTGTTGAAATTTAGCTAGTTACATATATAGGTTAATTTTTTTCCCATCGAAAAGTAGGCACCAAAACATTCCCTTGGTTCGGTATCTATGCTTACAATTGAAATATCTTTAACACAAAAACCATCGTAGACAGTGATGTGGGTTCTATTAAGCAATAAATCAAAAACATGCCTGCAACAAATTATCATTTCCTTTAAAAGCTTTGAAAATTATAAATTACTCTATTTAAAGATGTGCAATGAAAATGATCGTTATAGAAATGAAAGCAAAAACACAGGATTTGTTTTGTTTTTTCATAACTTAGTCACTCTTATATTAAATATCACATGAATATTCTATCATAATAAAATTATTGCATGCCAGTTTTAAAAGATTGTTTGGTGCAATATTGTGTAACCAAAATGATTAAAAAAAAAAACCCAGTAAAGGAGGTGCTGAAAATATTCTGTTCCAATATTTTTATTGGTATAAGTATAATCTGTATCTAAAATTATATTTCTGTGCCTAAAACTATTGATACCCATTTAAAAAAGATAAAAAATCAATAGTTTTTCATTGTATGCTGTTAATTTGGGTGATTCATTGCATCTCATTCCCATTTTGGTTTGAAACTATTAGTTCTTGTTCCAAGTGATAAATGTCCACTTATTGGGTACTGTTAAGGAAAGAAATGACATACTTTTCAGTTGTTGATTGTGGATACATTTTTATTCCTCTAAGCTCAAACATATCAAAAGAAGGCTTTAATAATTTATTTGAATGAAGCAATTATTAATTATCAAAATATTGTTAGTTTCTTATCAGCAGTATTATTTAGTCATGGGGGTTATGTTTAATTAAATTCAAGGATCATGTTTATTACAAAAGTTGGTTTTAAAATCATGCATATTTTCTTTAATTTTATTTTCTTCATATTTTTTAGATTTTATTTCATGGGAATTTTTTTTGGGGGAGGGGGGGGGGGTGTCCTTTAAACACAGCCAAACTAAACTGGTGTAGATCTCAATTATATAGTGTTTTTGTTCCAGTAATATTATGTCACATCAAATCAACCTAAGTGCCACCATTCAATGACTCCTTATTATTCAAGGCATTCCCTATTACAGGGATAATAAGAGATGGTTTGGTTGTTACACTAAATATCTAATTTAGTCTGTCATTTTCATATTAACCTACTGGTCAGAAATCTTCCATCATTATGACTAAACTCAGGAAATAGAGATTTTTGATCATCTTGAAAATTTAGCAAAGCAACAAAAAAATATATGAAGGGGACTTGTTATCCTTACAATTTCTTCATAAAGGAACTTTAATTCCCAGTAATTTTACATGTAAATTTTTTAGAACTTAAAAAAAGATTCCCCATCATTTATCGAGCAATAGAAACCCCAAGTTTGCGTACATAACGGTATCCTTTTCTCAAACTAAATGACTATATCACCTAATATTTAAGCATGCTATACTCTTCTTTCAAAACTGCCATTTCACATTGATGACGGACCATTCACATTTGATGTCAGACCATTCACAATTCATTTTTGGGATATTAATCCTTACAATATTTTATTTCATTGAAAACAAATTACCTTAATTATTTTTTTTACCTAAAGAATACTGTGTAGGATTTTGCCCAAGATCTTTATTTTCCTATCAGAACATTCCTTCAGGTCTTAAGTATATGTCTTTTTTATTTTTAGGATTTTGAAGGTAGGCTTTATTGGGTAGTAACAGCAGCTTTTTCCTATAATTTGAAGCCAAAAATTCAATTAGTTGTGGTAATCGGACTGAACAACTGATGTAAATAACATAACCTAAAACGTATTGATTCATGTTCGTATCAAAGGCTAACTGTAGCGGAACCTTAATGTGTCTTTCTAAAATTAATCATATAAATATAAAGATGTTAATTTATCCACCTATTTTTGCAGAAAGAACATTTCAAATATTAGTGTATTGCATACATTTAGTCTTAATATGTTGCAACTGGCTAATGATGTTAATATTTTTCATTAAAATGATGCCTCATTCAAGTAATTAATAAATTCTTAGTTGTGCATGCAACATCTTGTGTAAACTTAAAATGCTAGTCTCATAAATACGTGTGTGTATAAATTTATATCTATATACCTATGACACACCCCCACTGATAGCATAGCTTGTTCAGTAATGCTAGCTACTGAATGAAATGTTTAACAATAATATGGACCATTTGTTTCAGCCTATATCATGTCCATTATAAATAAGGTATCCATCCTAAATAATTTGCAAACATGTGCTTTCAGGGGAATTTATATCTGTAAAAATGCCAACATTAATTTTTTTTGTTTGAAAGTACTCAACCCTGCACAAAATGTGTACAGAAAATTGCCAAAAATTATTTGCTGTCATTCTTTTTTTTTTTTTTTTTGTGGAAGAAATAATGGCTGTTAATATAATTTTTACTTTACTCATTTCAACATCCCCATTCTGCTGTCACTACCCATTTCAAATGGCACTTCCCCAGAAAATCATGGATTTTTGGGACACAAATAATGTGTACAGAAAATTGCCAAAAATTATTTGCTGTCATTCTTTTTTTTTTTTTTGTGGAAGAAATAATGGCTGTTAATATAATTTTCACTATACTCATGTCAACATCCCCATGCTGCTGTCACTACCCATTGCAAATGGCACTTCCCAAGAAAATCATGGAGTTTTGGGACACAAATGGTGAACATTTAACAGTGCCTTTTTGGTCATTTGCTATTTGCACACCTTTCATTAGAGACTGGAATTTTTTTTTGATATGCCAAGAAAGAACAATTATGCTCTGCATTTTGCTTAGTTTTGGCAAGCCATAATTCTAAAGCATTTATCTCTTTATTATTTGTCTGTGATCAGATTGGTTAATAAATGCATAAGATCTTGCTTGTGTTTTAAATTACTTGCTCACTTTGTAAACGGTTTTATCTTGAATTATAACATATTTCATCCAACAAAATTGTCCACATCGATAAGGAAAACCAATAGCAATGCATGAAAATCAGGGTGCTGTTTGCATAATGAGAGGATTAGAGGTGATACTTTTGGTCTAGTACCATACCATTATTGTGCTTAATCAGTTTGTGACCATTGGTTGTTTAAGATGCTCATATGGTGCAAAGGTTATCTTGTACAGTTTTTTTTTTTTATTTTATTTTGTTTAATGTGAAAGTTTTTTTGTTTGAACCATATTAGGTTAAAAAAACTAGCCAACTTGTAGATGTCAAGAAGGAAACAAGTACTTACTTTTCCTTTTTTTCTTTGTAATTGTTAATAATTAAGGAGGAATTGGTGAGCACACTAGATGATCACTTGCTTACCAAAGGAGAACTTTGGACTGGGCAGCTTTTATCACACCAGTGGTATTAGTTGAATTGTTTCTCTGGATTTTCAAAATTTGAACATGACATGTATATTGTGCTCGTAGCTTGCTTTGAATATAAATTCCAAAATAAAGTCTTTATTCACTTAATGATGTTAGTTATGTTATTTTTTTTAAAAAGATGTAAAAATTTAGATGCTTTGCACAGTTCTTTACACTCATTTTACTGTCCTCGAGATACTTGTACCAGGTAATACAATTTAGTCGCAGTATTTAGACATGGAGATATGTAAAGTACCCTATAAACTGTCCTATGTTTTGTCAAAATTATAAGAAGAAAGTCTCTTGAACAAACGGACTTGACTCAAACATTTAAAATTAATATAACAGAAGCACACAAATTAATGGTCAAGAAGCATGTGTGGACAGTTCTCAAAATAAAAATATTACATGACCAAAGTTAAGGGACTACTTATGGATTACCCTGAGTTATTCCCCTCCACTGACCGATAATGATATTGCTGGCTGCCGTCCATGGTTTGCCTTGAAAAAGTTATGTGGTGGGGTGGGTGATATACATTTCTGTTCTTTATTTCATAAATGTATTTTATTTTAATTTCATGATTATGTACAGCGCGGTGAGCCCAGCCCTAAGCTGGTGTACCGTGCTATATAAGACCCCTAATTATTATTATTATATACAGTTAGGAAAAGATCAAGGTCATGAAGTTATTGAAAAATGAATTGATCAATGCTGATTATGTTGGGACCAGATGGTAGCTAGATTTGGACTGGCAATTTTGTTGAAATAAATGTTTCCAAAATCAAACCAACCATGAAGCCAAAGCAAACAAAGGTAAATCATTAGTATTAAATTTATTAAATGAATATAGATGAAAATCACATATTCTTTGGAATCGGCATGGTATTTGGAAAATGAAAAGCATGAAGATAGCAGTGCCTCAAAGTTTCAGTTACTAGTATTCTGCATAAATGAGGTTCCTTTTGTGAGACTTCTAAAGGTAGGATCTGCCACCGCAATTAAATTCCAAAAAAATGCCCATCCATGCATTCCATCTTCATTGGTACCTGGCTGCCTTTGCATATATACAAATAATATGTCCTGCTAAAATCTTTTACTTTTCTCTTTGTCTAATGTTCTCTTGGACAGCAATCTAAAATGATAATACGGGTAATACAGAGGACTAAAATTATATAAACTTAAATTCAATTATATCTTAAAAACTAGAGCTATAAACTATAACTAATAACAGAAAATGATGCTATTTTCAGCATAAGCACTTGTAGGAACATGCACTAGAGTTTTTAAAAATTTTTGTAACCTGTGTAAAGAATTAAAATATTCTATGCTCAGATTCTCTAGGTGATTTTTATTAAGTGTATCCAACCTTTCAATGGATTACATTCTTCATTCATTAAAATGACTTTGTACAATAAACATTCAATTATGAGAATTTATCCTGATAAAACCCAGCAAATACAATGGAGATAATTACTATTCCAGTTACAACAATGGTATTGTTTGCAACACTTGCCTATCAAAATAAATGATTTTAAAAAATTCACCAATTATTACAATTAATTAAAAATGTAACCAACAAATCCAATTGAAAATTCTTTCTATGAATGGAGAAAAAAGAGAACCCAAGTAAATAAATGTGAACTAACCATCTTAAACTTGTGTGACAGTAGCTTGAACTATATTGTCATATTAAACGTAAGCTTACATGATTAAAATATCTAAAGGCAGTTTTAATCATATCATATGATAAAAGTGAATGTTTGTAGGTTTGTTCCACATACGTTTTTACATGGATAGATGAGAATAGATGGATCTTGACCAAACTTGGGACATATATCCATAATCAAATAGGGGGGGGGGTATGAACTTTTTATAACATTCATTTGGGGTTGGGGCCCCGAACTATTATTTTTTTTCTAATATGAGCTATAGTCACATACGTTTTTACATGGATAGATGAGAATAGATGGATCTTGACCAAACTTGGGACATATATCCATAATCAAATAGGGGGGGGGGGTATGAACTTTTTATAACATTCATTTGGGGTTGGGGCCCCGAACTATTATTTTTTTTCTAATATGAGCTATAGGGGCTATAAATAAAATTAACAACAAAAACTCCTACCCATATTCAAATACCCAAGGGTACTGAACTCATATCCATTCTAATGGGGCCATGGGCCCCATTTCATTTTGTTCTTATATAAGCTATATAAATATCAACTCTATGGGTTCTATGTGAATTGATCGATCTAGACCTAGCGTGGTAGCAATACATTTCATTGTCGGTATTGAAATATTATTGGATTTAAAACTAAGACTATCCAATCTAGAATTTTCCAGAAAGTTCGATAACTTTAAAAAGCTATATCTATGGCATTATTTAATAGATTTGAATGGGACAAACTTTAAATTTTAACTCCATAATTTATCTGAATGAATTTTATGCCCCAGCCCCCATCTTAGGCAAAACTGATTTGGTACAATTAAGGAATGGGCCCCCACTTGGGGCCCCTCTTTCAACCTAAATTTACTATAGTTATAGAAGTGCATTTAGTTGTATAATTTTTTTGTATACGTTACGAAAATGTATTACTTAGAAAAGTCATTTTTTACACTTTTCGAGGAGGATATTAATTTTAATCCAGAGTGTTCCAGAAAGTTCTATACTGTTCTATGGGGATGTATAATGGGATATAAAAGCATATTTAAATGTTAGTTTAGTTCTATTTATTTATTTACTTTCATGGGGATTATCTCTAAGCATACTCTCATAATCCCACAAAAATCCCACTGGGAACATGATCCCACCGAGGAACAGGATCATTAATGAGAACGAGATCCAACAGTAAACTGGAACCAACGCTATCCCATCGGGTAACGGGATCTCATCGGAGAAGAGGATGCCACCGGAATAGGAATCCTAACAGAAAATGGGATCCCACTAGCAAACTGGAACCCACCGGGTTCGGAAACCAATCATTATCCTACAGAGATCAAGATCATAAAGGGGTCGGGATCCCTCCAGGAAACGGGATACCTTCGGACACTAGAAAAAGGCTGTAGAAGTTATTGTTTTTCCGTATGCAATCCCGGGATATATTGGCTAGTCTAATTTATTTATGGGTTTTATTGATCAAACTTCTATCCTGCTGTTATATTTCATTAGCCAAGAATTATATTAAACTTCTATCAAATGACACTATTTCCATAAATTCTGATTTGTTTTATAAATGATAAGAAACATCAGATAAAATATTAAAAACAAAGTGATGTGGAATAATATTTAATCTAAAATGATAAGTTTTCTTTTTTTTCAAGGTTTTACTTGAAATAATTTCATTAAATATCAATTTAAAAATAATTAATTAAAAAAAAAACTTTAAGTTTAAGTGGTGTTAAAAAAAAATCAAGTAGCCACATCTTATCTATCATTTTTATAGATTGGGGATATAACATATTACTCTATATTTGGACTGGAAAGATGTTTCAATGCTTTTTAGTAAATCTATTCCTTTAATCTTTTATAGGACCACTATTCCCTGAATAAAAATATTTCCAAAGCTAGGCAGATCTACTGTAGACTTTAAATCAGTATTTCTCAACATTTTATTTGCTTGTGCAAACAATTATTTTATTAATTACTGCTGTTTTTAATACATAAAATCTTTTCTCAAAGTTATCATGACCAACCAAAAAAATGTGTGGCTCAAGTTGAGAAACTTTACATTGAACTATCATTAATTGAATATGGAAGGATCTCCATCTTCGCGCCCCCCCCCCCCCCCCCACTTAAAAAAAAAAGAACTGAAATAATTATAGTTGAAAAAATGTGCAAACTTTTGAGAAGCCAAAATTTAATTAGCTGCTGCTAATAGTGCTAATTCATCAATGATTTATTTAAATATTGTACAAACATATTTGATAGTTTGGTGGAGTCTTCAACAGGATGCATTTTTGTGTAAGTTATAAATTGACGCCTGTGTCTCTGAAGCTCTGCTATGCTAACATGCCTTATAAAAACAAATTCTTCTTTAACATCAGGGATTTTAATAGCACTCCCTGGAACAAGAGATTTCTGAGCAGCAACCAATAATGTAACAATGTCTTGGGTGATTTTATCCACCTCATACAAGAAATTAGTGGATGACAATGGCTGAGTCTGTGTTGACTGATTTGGTGGTGCTGCTTTTTGTGTAAAGAGAGCACAACATATTTCATTCATATTGAGGCATCCATCTTTAATTACAGTGAATAATGGTTTATCCCATCTGTTCAAAGGTGATGGGCATTCAAATCTCATAATCAATTCATCAATGAGTTCACTTGAGTAACGATCAGTTTCATCTTTTAAATTATTCCAAGCTTTTGATGTTTCTGCATCTGTAACACAATAAATGACACATTGAGGAGTCCTGCAAGCTTTTGCCACACAAAACAATTCGTATCGAAATCCTTTAATGTAATTTAAGGCATCTAAAATGACAACATCATCTTTCCCTAAAAGCCTTTGAACAGATGATTTGAGATTTCCCCGAAGCTCACGTTCTTTGAGTGAATTTGAATAAACTTCCTGCCTATTTAGTCCTTCTGTATGGTCAGTTATTACATGAACTTTCTTAGATGGGTATTCCAAACTGAGATACTCGAAGAGCTGTCTGCATCGAAATGTTTTTCCACTAGCAGGGAAACCACACAATACAACAAGTGGCATTTTAACAGATACAAATATGTAATCTGAAAAAAAAAAAAAAAACATTAAAGAACGAATCAGATTACCATGGCCTATTTTGTTAACGATTTAAATTTTAATTTATTTAAGAAGTTAAAACACACAATAAAAAAAGTGGCATTTTAACAGATAAAAAAATGTAATCTAAAAAAAAAAAAAAAAAACATTAAAGAACGAATCAGATTACCATGGCCTATTTTGTTAACGATTTAAATTTTAATTTATTTAAGAAGTTATGTCTTATATAAATCCACTAGCTGAAATTATTATGTACTAAGGGGGGGCGCAGAAATATGCCTCTCTCCAGAAAATATTTGATAAATTCAAAAAAAGAGCACGGATGCATTTTATAAATACCTGAATTTGGGTTGGCATTATTCTATTTCTACACTTTTTTGGAGACCAACAGAAAAGATGAGTGAAAATAAATCTCAAATGTAAAATTCAGACGATGACGGTAAGGTCCACATAAAAAATGTGGCACATCATTTTTAGTATTGACAATTGAAAAATATCTCTGATTTTATGGGTACTAAATTAGCTTTAATTTTAATATCTATTCATCGCTCTACTATCACATTTGTTTAATAATAATATGTTTATTAAGACTATACTATATTAAAATTAGGCTGCGACTATTCAGACCCAGGTATCAAAAGTGAGAGTTTGGGTTTATAAAAGAAAGTGTCTATTGGTAGTTTACTACCAATAGCCTCTAGTTGGGGCAGGGAGCTATTTGTAGTAAACTACCAATAGCCTCTAGAGAGCTATTGGTAGTTCAGCCAATCAAATCAAACCAAATTCTTAGCTTTAAAAATCTGCTTCCAATGAGGCTGGCGAAGTATTGCCTCGTTCATTTATTACTAGTTTGTACTAGTGACAACACCTCGGCACTAATTATAAAATCTACAGTACTGTTTTAAAGTTTTAACACTATCTGCTGTAGCCTTCCCCATGCTCAGATATTGCTATATAATTTATAATATAGACCTAATATAGATCTTAGAAAGATGTATGAATGTATGATACTGGAGGGAAGGGGATCATAGTCTGAAAAAAATGTTACCCAGCGTCTTCTTTGCCAAGGGCGCCAAGGCTAAATTAAGATGTGCAGTAAAAATAAAATCCACAGTAAACATTTTGTGTGTGCTAATTATTATTATTGTTACTTTAATTAAATGAAACTGTATAATAATGTGATTACTTAACAATGATAAAATAAGCTTAGGCCAAACATGGTTTAGGAACATGGTCACATAAACCAAAACCACCCGGCTTTGATTTTCTGTTGTTGGGAGAAATGTCTACTGAGTGTTATTTACATTAATGAGGACTCATTAACTTATAAAGTAAAGGCATCGATATTTTTTATGTACAATTAAACAATTTCATTGGGTATATTGTGCAACTATAACACAAATTAATCAATTTAATTTCTAGGAATCACTATTTACTATTAATTTTTTAATGCTATGCAGAGTACGCAGAATCAATTTTTTAAACTGCACATAATTTTGATGAAAACTTAAACAGTGATACATAAATAAAATAAAATATATACAAAGAAAGAAAAATAAGTGTATTATGTCTTGAAAATCCGATTGGAGTGAATTTATGAATGAGACTAACTAAACACAAACAATAAATTTTATTGGTACCCGTACATGTTGTCATGATAATTATTATGGCTCTCACAGAATTACTTTTCAAAATATGTGGTGTCCATGGCTCTCTCAGACAAAAAGGTTCCCGACCCCTGCTTTAAAAATGCTATTTCGGATGCCATTTGGCAATTGGGGGGTTTGTGGTAGTTTATATTTATTTTAATTAAACTGAATTTGAAAATTTGATACCAAATTTTGTCTTACAACTGTACAACCCAACAATAATATTTTAAAATATTTTTTGAATCCAAACCTCTCACTCCTGGGACCCGGGTCAGCCACTTGGTTAAAATTAATAAGACCTAGCCGTAATTCATAATTCTAAATAAATTAGTTTTAATCTACACCACCTTTGCATTTGAACGACGTCCTTTTTGCCGTTTGGACTAGTATTAATTAAAAGGTTCTTACCTATATTTTATATAAAACTTTATCAATGATCAAGTCTTAATAAGTCATATGTTAGACTTGACGTATGACGTATATAGTCAATAGTATAGTTACTAATAGTAGTAGTCAAGATAGGCAAGTATTAATTAACTTCATTAATTAGTGTGATTTAGGCTGTAAATCTATGAAAGAATTGCATGGTCCAAGTCCAAGTCTAAGTTAAAGTACTAATAGTTTAGTAGCTCTTCAAAACCAAATAAAATAAAATAGATTTTTTAATTTTAAAACATACACTCCCGTTTAAAAGAACTATTTTGATGGTATCGATTCTAAATTTGGCAAAGTTTGTCGCCAGTTCGACATATTTTGTACATTTTGATTTTGTTTTTAAATTGTAATATTTATAAATATTCAATACTAATAATTTTGAAGAAGATTAAAGTAGATATCATGAACAATGTAATAATTATTTTAATAAGAGATTCCAAGACATATGGCATTACGTATTATTAATGAATAAAAAATATAATGACTTTGGTAAATGAAACTAAACTGACGATACCATGTTTGTATTCGTAAACCATCACAACGGTACATTCTTGAGTTATCGTTTTGACAACCGTACCATGGCACATCTACAGATTAAAGAAGGTGAATTTACATCGACAATTTACGGATTTGTAAGTCAAATTGTTTTAAAGTAAATGTGAGTTTTATAAGTCTAACATGAAATGGAATTTGTGTTATTTAAATTATTATAAAACCAATAAGTTAACAAGAGCCATATAATTTTGAATAATATTAAAATTAACAGTTGTGACATTCATTCATTTTCATAATTATAATTCATTAATCATTATTCATTATTTATTTATTATTATCATTATCATTCAATCAATATCAATTATTAGTTATCATCATCCATCCATCCACTCATCATTCAAATAACTTCATTATCCTTTTATCAATATAAAAAATCATGAAAAAAAATTGAGTAGGCCTACTGCTGCTAGCATAATCATTTTAATTAATTATTTACTATTTCATTCACATTGAAATATCATTAGATCTAAGTGTTAAGTTGCGTAAGATTGCAATATAATTGAATATAGTCCTCAAAAGTTTCATATCTTTCTGCTTATATTAAACACATACCTTTCAAATGTCTCATTTTTCCTTCCCTCAACCTCGAAATGGTCATCAAATGCATTATGACGTCCTGTGTACTGTGTTTTTCTTTGAGTTTTGAGAGGCAAGCCAGTGTAATAGTCAATCCCTCTGGTCCTATGGTATTTAGGAATATAGCTTTTTTATATTCCTCATCCCCTGTGTTGATCTCTGCTACAATGCAATAGTTCATCCACATTTGTTTCCAGTTTCTATTCCTCACACCCTTTCTTCACATGTAAAGAAGAAGGGGGGGGGGGGGATGGCCTCTAGCCTTATAAAAACTTCTTTCTGCCATAGTCTCAGTTGGCTGCTACCATGTTATATTAGTAATATTATGACTAACACTCCATGAAAACTAACACTTCTGTTCAGCTGGGTTTCTATATCTTTAATGAATTTATTACAAGCAAGGTCAAGTTACTTGACTTCTCAACTCACGAAATCACGGGCCTCACGCATTGACACAAAGGGACGCAACTTAAAACTACATTAACAGTGATATCAAAGGGGCCATCCATATATGACGTCACACGTCGGGGGGGGGGGGGGGGGTTCAGATTTTTGAGACGAGGTGTGATGAGGGGGGGCTCAAGCCATGTGACGTCACATGAAAAGCAGAATGTTATAGTAAAGAATTTCATTTAATAACACTAAATTACAGACATTTTTAATATTATTTAAAAAAACAACAATTATAATTATTTTATTTTACAACTACTATCACTGACAGAATCAGGTAGGAATGCGAGGTCCGAAGAATGGCCTTTGATCAAGTTACAGGACGCCCAGTAGTAGGAGAATCGGAATGTAGTTAAAATGACAGTCGTGAGAATTTATGGCTAAATCTGAACGCGGGAAGTGGAATGGAGCGGGAAAAAGAGATTGACCGCGGGGTGGGGGGTATCTTAGTAAATGCTCTAGGGCAGGGATTCTTAACCTTTTTTGCAGCGTTGCAGGCCCACATCCCTCCCCAATCATATAAATTACATTGTAATAAAATGTAAAATAATTAAATAATTTAGTTATCGTAGATTTTATTTCTTTAATTAACTTTTTATAAACAGGAGAAAAAATACCAATACACAAAATGTGCCAATGAAATTCGCCATTGACTCTTGCTAATCAAAATTCATAAAAACTGTAATTTTTTTAAAAAAGCAATTGCAGTTGCAGCAAATAGAATCAATGGCGTAGTTAGGGTTGGTGTCACCCAGTCCGGTAAGCTCGTGGTGTCAACCCCTCCCCTTTTTTACGATGTATTTCTGCTTGTTAAACTTAGTCCACAGTATAAGAAATACAAGAACAAAAACAAATTAATTGAAGGTCAGGGGGTAAATGTATTTAAGAACTGCAACGCTCTTTGAATCGCCCATTGTTGTCAAAGGATCGTTGCATTTATCAGAGTTTAGATACAAATAACTTTCGGTCACTTATAAAAGTTACCGAATACTTAATTCGGCGTTGAAACATGGTCAAAGCGGTGTGTTTCTGACTTGATAATATGGTAACCTAAATGCTGACCCATCAACCTTGACATTTTAATATTAACGAAACACACATTTTGATTGGTTATATGGGTGGAAAATGTACGTGTCATCTGTTACCCTTTTATGAATTTCGGCTAGACTGATTAGTGTGTGCTCTGTAATTACGCTATCTTTCAATTTGGTGTCACCCCCTGAGATGGTGTCTGCCGGTTTGGTCAGCCCTCCCCAGCTACGCCACTGAATACAACTTTTTGGTCTTCCACACCTCAAGGCTGGGGAGGTAGTTGTACCCCTTGTTAAGAACCACTGATCTGGTGAAATGTTTCTGACATGGGTGCAGTAATTTGATATTCATGGGAGGCGAATTTCTTAAGGGTTTGTAAAGGACAGTAGTGAACATAGGGGCTTTTTATAGGAGGGTGGGATGCAGAGGTTTGTGACGTTATATTGGAGGGGGGGGCGTCTAACTTTTTGTGACGATGGGGGGGTAAAAAATTGGCAAAATTTGTGTGATGTCATTTATGGATGGCTCCAAAACACTAGCATACTCATATTCATTAATTATTGTTTCATTCACATTGAAATGTCATTATTATCACCATCAATTCAAGTCTCTAATGACAGTAGGCAGATATAAAATTTATGCTTAGGGCACTTAGGCTATCTCTAGACAACATCACATATAATAAAATATGCTACGCAGCACAAAGTGGCCATCCGTAAATGACATCACACAAATTTTGCAGATTTTTTACCACCCTCCCCCATCGTCATAAAACGGTAGACCCTCCCCCCTTAAAATATAATGTCACAAATCTCTGCACCACCCTCACACCCCCCACCCCCCAAAAAATAAAAATAAAAATTCCTGGTGTTCACTACTGTCCTTTACAAACCCTTAAGAAATTCACCTCCCATGGATATCAAATTGCTGCACCTGTGTCAGAAACATTTCACTAGAATAATGGTTCTTAACCAGGGATAAACCAGCCCTGAGGTGTGGAAGACCAGAAAATTGTATTTGCTGCCATTGCGTGTTGTTGCAGCTTTTCTAAAAAAAAAATCAACCCAATTTTTTTGCATTTTGATTAGCAGCAGTAAATGTTTTTCTGGTAAATTTTGAAAAAGTTAATAAAAAATATAACTAAACTATTTAAATATTTTAACATTTTGAATTTTAAAGAGGGCAGCTCTTACACAAAGATTTTTGGCAAGGCAGCACTTCACCTGCTTATGTATTCCACTGAATTTTGAATTTACAATTCAAATATTCTATAACATATATTTTATTTTAATGTAACAAAAAGTACAAAATTAAAGTACTAATTTTATTTAATCAGATCAAAGAACAGAGATTCAATGAAGCTATCCAGGTGCTCAATCATCAGCTTCAAGGGGAAACTAAGGTATGGAAATGTTGGTAGATTTGGTTTTTAAAGTTATCAAAATAATTCTGTATGAAACATTCATTCATATTTTCCCACATTCACTGACTGCTCTTTTGGTGAATGGTAGGATTCCTAATACCTTGGCTTTGATTAAAATATAGCAGAGATGTTAGATGTGCCATTGCAAAATGCCTCCCAGAGGAGGAAAAGCACAGAGTTTATGGTGGGTGTGTAAAACTTATAAAAGTGAGTAGATAAAATGAGACAGTGATTAGCTTATTACTTAGCCGCTGAACTTGTCCCACCATATATCCCTGAAAATGTGCAAATATTATTTATTTGGCAAGTCATATAGTCCGAAATAAGACATGCACCGTTGATTATAAAAAAAAAACCTCGCTAAAAGAGTGAAAATAATTCTCAAGAGAACTTTCTGGAATGGTGGAATGACTGGACTTCAAATTTAAAATGGATGATTGCTGAATTTCTGTCAAAGAAAAATCATCTCTCTAATTTTCATAACAACCATTGCAGATGTGCTACTGTTTTCACATTTTTCATATGCTTGAAAGGCTGATAAAAACTTTGAGTTGATTTATCAAAGATTGAAGCAAATATGAAACAGCTAAAACAAGCTAAAATATCGCATACATCAAATTTACATTATGGGGTCTGATATTACATTTAATTATTTTATTCACTTTGGACTTATTTATTTTTGTGTTAATTTTATTCTTTTTGTCATTGACACTAATTCATTAATTTTGTGTTTATTTTTTTTTTATTATTAACTTTATGTCACTAAGTATAAAATTCTGCTGGCTAGGTTAATTTTCATTATTTTCTCTGAACTGAATTATGTTATACATGGTTTTATTTGTATGGTGCTGCATCATTCTAGGAAAGATTTAAATATGTTGTTGGAGAAAAAAGGTTGCTGAACACTGCTGAATGGCCATCTATTGTGAAGCTCTAGGTATTACAACTTTAGAGGGATAGTCTGTGGTGCATAAGGATTGTATCCTTCACCCTAGCAATTTTCTCATGACCTGTATCTTCCTGGCATTTGCGTGGTATGGCAGTCTTAGATGTCCCTATTTATGCTCTAAGGTCAGAATCCATTGTATTTCCTTGGCTCCCCTTGTGTGGTTTGTAGCATTACCCAATTTGTTGCAGATGAAAAGAGAATCAGTAAGAAAATGCACGTCAGCTTCACTTCAGTACTTTCTTGATACTTTTTGGTGTCATATTTGCAATATTTCATCATATATTTTCAAGAGAGTCAAAAATATATAAAAGCTTTTTGCTTTATCCAAATTACTTCAGGTATTGATTTCATATCATTTTTAAAAAAAGTAATTTTGTGACAAAAGTGTTTGCTCTACTAACTCTAAGAATTGTGCTCAGTAATAACATTTCAGATTTCCTGACAACCACTTGGAAATGTTATATTTTGGAGCTGATGCTTCCTCCTGATAAAAAATCTTAACCTTTTGCTGTTGCTGTAAATCTAATTTCAGTCAAGAGCAGCTTTGTCTCTGCTTGCCTATTGTTACTACCAAGTCCAGGACTTTGTCAATGCCTCTGATTGCTATGAACAGCTGGCGTCTCTTCACCCAGAGGTAGAAGATTACAGACTTTACTATGCACAGTCTCTCCATAAAGCATGTCTCTACCAGGAAGCCATGAAAGTAGCGTGCCAGATTGACAGCCCCAAATATCAGGGTCAGGTAATTGACATATTTTTATTTTGTGATTTTTTTTTAAATTTCCTGGTAGTCTTCCAGCTTCCGTTTGGATATCCTGGTGGTCCTCCAGCTTCTGTTCTGATGTGCTGTTGGTCCTCCAGCTTTCATTCTGATGTGCTTGTGGTCTTCGTGCTTCTGTTTTGATTTCCTGGCGGTCCTCCAGCTTCCGTTTTGATTTCCTGGTGGTCTTCCAGCTTCCGTTTTGATTTCCTGGTGGTCTTCCAGCTTCCGTTTTGATTTCCTGGTTGTCCTCCAGCTTTCGTTTTGATTTCCTGGTTGTCCTCCAGCTTCCGTTTTGATTTCCTGGTTGTCCTCCAGCTTCCATTTTGATGTGCTGGTGGTCATCCTGGTTCCGTTCTGATGGGCTTGTGGTCCGCTTCTGTATTGATTGCTGGTGGTTTTCCAGCCCTCAGATCAACTGAGAATACTTAAGACATTAGTTTTCAAAATTCTGATCTACGTGTGGAGGCTTTAGTAGTTGGATCTCCTCATGAATATCAATTTTACAAATGACAGATTTTCCTTTCTGAGCCTTGGATTGATTGCCATATGACAGTCCACATCTGCTGTGACCTTACTCCCTTAGCACTGAAAACTAAGCCTCCACCTTTTGCCACCAATTGTTAAACAGGGGGGATTATATGGTTTACCATGGGGAATAAAAGGTTCTTGGAACAAAACTTCCTAGATTTCTCTAGAGATTAAACAGCACCAAAATCAAGTGCACACATTCCATAGTGTCTGAGAATCAACCAAATTAGTTCTTTGTGTAGGCCGTTGAAAGCTTCCTTGGAAGTCAACAAAGGCAATGAATGCATTTTATTCTTGAGTCTGTTCTAGGATTCGTCACAGGACAAAGATGTGTTCAATTTACTAAGATCCCCCCTTTCCTAAAGCTGGCATGTTCAGGTCTGTGCTTTTTGGCTGTTGTCATTCTTTGTTCAGGGAAATTTCTGGTCTTCTAATTCTTCCCGCTCTGTTTTCAATTATCAGTATTAAATAGGGTTGCTATTTGATGAAGTTTTATTGTAGATCATGATTATTAAAGTGGTTTAATATAGTTTGGTACCCCAGCCGAAGGCTGGACTCACAGAGTTCACTTAAAAACTAGCAGAAAGAAAAAAAAAAGAAACATGACATTAAAAAACAGTCACGCAAAATTATTCTTATAAAAACAGCTGTGTACAAATATTGACCTGCCCACCCAAGTACTATTGACCCCTGTCTAGTCATGCACGGCACCCTTCATCATCAAGCATTGTTTATCGGTCAGAGGGGGGGGGAGAATGAGTCAGAGGTTGGTAGAATATAGATAATGTGGGGTTGCTATTTGATGAAGTTGTATTGTATATAGTTAATGTGGGGTTGCAATTTGATGAAGTTGTACTGTATATAGTTAATGTGGGGTTGCAATTTGATGAAGTTGTACTGTATATAATTAATGTGGGGTTGCTATTTGATGAAGTTGTACTGTATATAGTTAATGTGGGGTTGCAATTTGATGAAGTTGTATTGTATATAGTTAATGTGGGGTTGCTATTTGATAAAGGTGTATTGTATATAGTTAATGTGGGGTTGCTATTTGATAAAGGTGTATTGTATATAGTTAATGTTGGGTTGCAATTTGAGGAAGTTGTACTGTATATAGTTAATGTGGGGTTGCTATTTGATAAAGGTGTATTGTATATAGTTAATGTGGGGTTGCTATTTGATGAAGTTGTACTGTATATAGTTAATGTGGGGTTGCTATTTGATGAAGTTGTACTGTATATAGTTAATGTGGGGTTGCAATTTGATGAATTTTATTAAATTAAGCTATGGTATGTTTTAATTGTGTGGAAATGGCAAATATTATTCAAGAATGTAGCATTATCGTTGTATTGTCAGATATTTCTTGTCTCTTTCCATGTAAAGAACAAAACTTAATTTCAATTTTCTATATTATAACCAGATAACAAAACTTAATCTCAAGTTTCTATATTTTATCCAGATAACAAAGCTTCAAGCGGCCATCAAATATGGGGAAGAGGACTTACCAGGGGCAAAGGTAAGTGCTAAAAATAGTTTCAAGTTTGTATCAATTTTCAGACTCAACAAGTGTTAACCTTTTCACATTTCTCCAAACTCACTGTCATTAAAAATAATGATTGAATCAGAACTGATAATTTTTTTGGAAATGTTTTGAGAGTAAATGTGAAATGAATGCAAAGTCCACATCAGCGTGTTCATGGCCCACCCCACACATCTGAATGTATTGACTTTTTAAAACTAAAATGTGAGTTCACAAATTAAATGACCCCTGCAATACCTCTTTGTGTCACTGGACTAGCTCTTTGTGAAACTTGACTAGCTCTTTGTGTCACTGGACTAGCTCTTTGTGTCACTGGACTAGCTCTTTGTGTCACTGGACTAGCCCTTTGTGTCACTGGACTAGTTCTTTGTGTCACTGGAACTAGCTCTTTTTGCAACTGGACTAGCTCTTTGTGTCACTTGACTAGCTCTTTGTGTCACTGGAACTAGCTCTTTGTGTCAAGTGACTAGTTCTTTGTGTCACTGGAACTAGCTCTTTTTGCAACTGGACTAGCTCTTTGTGTCACTTGACTAGCTCTTTGTGTCACTGGAACTAGCTCTTTGTGTCACTTGACTAGCTCTTTTTGCAACTGGACTAGCTCTTTGTGTCACTTGACTAGCTTTTTGTGTCACTGGACTAGCTCTTTGTGTCACTTGACTAGCTCTTTGTGCCACTGGACTAGCTCTTTGTGCCACTGCAATAATCTGTTGACAATTAAAACTATTAATTTTTATATGAGTTAGTATTATCTTATTTCTGATCATTTTTTTAGGGCTTGATTTGTAAGGAAATTTAGAAGTAGCTACATAGGGCTATAGAATCACTTACATGGGGCTATAGAATCACTTAAATAGGACTATAGAATCACTTACATGGGGCTATAGAATCGCTTTCATGGGCTAGTAATATTCCAATTATAAAAATATTTGTTAAATAAGCCATGTATAAAAATGAATGATTTAATCATAATTTAAGATGTATGAATTCAAACTTATGGTATGAAATTGATATTTTCAGAGCTTGGTAGAACAGTGTCCAGCTGATGACCCAGATACTGAGATCAACTTTGGATGTCTACTTTATAAGGTTATTTCTATGTTTATTTAACTTGAAAAGATATGAAACTGATGACATATATACCAAATAACTGAAATTAATGTCTGTGTGTGGTCTGCTGAACCAGTCTGTTTGGTCTGTACTATTTGTCTGTGTATAATGCTGTACCAGTCTGTGCCATCGGCTGTATCAGTTGACCTGCAAACTGAAAAATGTATTGTGTATTAATCCAACTTTTGTAACGAATGCTCGTATAATATACACAGAATGAAAAGTAGTGAAAAAAATCAGATTCTCATTTGTAATTTGAATAAATCATAATAGAAATTGAACAATTTTTCCAATGTTAATAAATATGCTTGTGTTTTTATATAAAGTATTGGAAATAATTTATTAATTATATTGATTTCTCGAGGTTTTTTTTTTTATTTAGGAAAAACGCTATGAGGAAGCCTGTGCAAAATTTCTTGGGGCCATGCAGGTGGTGGGATACAAGGCAGACTTGTCTTACAACATAGCATTGTGTCACTACATGCTCAAACAGTATGCACCCGCACTCAAGCACATAGCAGACATCATAGAGAGGGGGATCAGGGAACATCCAGGTAATTGTGTGACCCAAGGTGTGGCCCTTGAAGGTTATGTTGGTACTGCCAGGAGGGCTGATGCTGTTTGGACTTTCATTGTTGCCTTTTGTTTATGTTCTCTTCCAACAATTTCACTTGATAGAGATTCATAAAATAATATACAGTGAAGACATTTATTAATTTGCAACATGCCAGTATGTTCTTTCAGTCTCACTTCATTTCAAAATGTTAATGTCAAAGGTCATCTTTTACTGTAACATTTTAATTTATTTCTGTAAGTCTCCTGAGCTAAGAAGGAAAATCAATATGATGAAATTATTTTTAAAAAACACGAATCTGATTTAGCAATTAAATTCTTCTTATCTGTCTTTTTAGTGTAATAATGTTGCTACTGAGGGAATGCTATAAATATGTACCAAAATTTGATGTCCGCAGAGCTGAGTGTTGGCATGACGACTGAAGGGATTGATGTAAGAAGTGTGGGCAATTCCATGACACTGCATGAGACTGCTCTAGTAGAAGCTTTCAATCTGAAGGCAGCCATGGAGTACCAACTGAAAAATTGTGAGTGTCATCTTCATTGTATTAGTTAAAGTTAACTTATTCAGTAAAAAAAAAAAACCCACACAAGCTCATGTGTCAAGTACTAATTTCATGTCAACAACTGTTTAATTATTAACTTTTGTTTAAATTTATGAACTTCTCTCTCTATACATATATATATATATATGTCACTAACATTTTATTATCAACTACTGCTGAATTTAAATATTAACTTCTTTTTATATAGCTACTACTATATATTCAGTCTGTTACATTGGAATTCACCATGCGTTAGCAAAAAATGTTACATTGCACAAATCTATTCCATTTGTAGAGGAAAGAGTTGCTGAGAAATAGTAATTCCTGTTAACAGCAAAATTCACATAATTCAATTTCCAATAGAATTTTTGCACCTTGTTCTCTGTATGATGTCCTGTATTTAGATGAGGCTTCCGTTGAGGCTCTGACAGACATGCCTCCCAGGTCAGAAGAAGAACTCGATGCTGTGACGCTGCACAACCAGGCCCTCATGAACATGGAGAACCTGCCTACACAAGGTTTCACCAAGATGCAGTTTTTGTTACAACAAAATCCCTTCCCACCAGAAACATTTGGCAACCTTCTTCTTCTCTATGTCAAATATGAAGTATGTTTAATGTTTTTTTAATTGTTTATGTGTGGTACATATGAAACTAATCCTAGTACAAAAGAACAGTTATATCCATTCCTTCCTAATCTTTGTGAAAATTTTGTATAAAAGAAATTTGTTAGATGGAAAATTGTTTAACGGAGCTTGTTAAATGGATATTTATTTTTAAAATATTTTTTAAGGGAATGTGTGAGTGAGAAAGTGGGAAAATGTAAACTTTTTAAATAAAATTGATGTTTGTTGGTTTTGTCACATTATTTCATTTTAAACAAACTTCCATTTGAAAAAATTACTGTTCAAACTTATCCTTGTATGTGATAAAACAGTTACTGGTACATATATTCATTACTTTTATGTGATAAAACAGTTACCGGTACATATATTCATTATTTGTATGTGATGAAACTTATGTTTCAATTTCCAAAATCTTTTCCTACTGTTATCACTCATCACTACCTACCTATCATCACTACCTATCACTCATCACTACCTACCTATCATCACTACCTATCACTCATCACTACCTACCTATCATCACTACCTATCACTCATCACTACCTACCTATCATCACTACCTATCTAAAATATATTTTATTTCAGAGTTTGATTATAATTTGATTATGAAAAATGAAACAAATAAATGTATATATTCAATTATAATTCTTATCCATAGTTCTAAACATAGACTAAATAAACACATCATTAACTTCCTATATCTGTATATGATGTTTGCCATGTCAGTTTTTATGATATCTATTGACCATAAAATCATTTTTTTAAAAAATCAACAGTACTTTGATCTCGCTGCAGATGTTCTTGCAGAAAATGCACACCTGACTTACAAATACCTTACACCAGTAAGTACATCACACAAAAAACTGCAGTCACTAAAAAACCTGTTAATAAGGACTGTTGATAATAGGCTCTGTAGCTTTGTACTATACATATCAATATAACATAGTTACAATATTTTTTTTTTTTTTCCTCTCCCCCCACAGTACATGTATGATTTTCTTGAAGCTGTCATTACAAGACAAACGTCACCCGAGGAAGCCTACAGAAAACTTGATGAGATGGCAACAAAACAAACTGAAACACTTCGGAAGCTGACAAAACAGGTGAACTGTCACGTTTCCCTTGAGTCCTAACTTACTTACCTTCCATAACTGACCAAACAGGTGAACTGTCACATTTCCGTTGAGTCCTAACTTACTTACCTTCCATAACTAATAAAAGTATCATGTCCAGCAAACATCAAGTCAAAAATTCTCTGATAAATGCGAGAGTTTTAATGAGACCATCAAAATCATGCAAAAGAAATTCCTTACTTTCTGATATCAATGAGTTGAACATATTTCAATTGAACAGGTTCAAGAATCACGACAAAACCATGATGAAGAGTCTGTGAAAAAAGCGGTCAATGAGTATGATGAAGCTTTAGAAAGGTATTTGTAAATTATTTAACTTGTCACTTGCCTCATCTGTTATAACTTTTGTCCACAAGCAATCATTATAAACATGAATTTATCAGGAAGGAATTTTAACAATATCACGTTCATGCAAACTTTAGCTTACTCTATTTGTTTCTACTTTTCGTTAAAAAAAAAACAAAAGAAATAACAAAAATTGACTAGACATTTGAAATAGATTTTTTTTCTCTTCTGTTCAGATATATTCCAATTTTAATGCAACAAGCAAAAATCTATTGGGACATGGAAAATTATCAACAAGTGGAGAAGATCTTCCGCAAGTCAGTGGAGTTTTGTAATGAGCATGATGCCTGGAAGCTGAATGTGGCCCATGTCTTGTTCATGCAGGAGAACAAGTACAAAGAGGCTGCAGGTTTCTATGAACCAATAGTCAAGAAAAACTATGAAAATGTAGGAAACGTGTGATGTAATATAGTAATATAATAATAAATTTAAAAAATCCAGATTTTTTCTTCTAAAATAGAGATCATGCCTCTGTTACTCTGACTACTTTCCTATAAAATAGATTTTAGACCTCTCTGTTACTCTGACTACTTTCCTATAAAATAGATTTCATACCTCTGTTACTCTGACTACTTTCCATTAAAGTAGAGAACACTTCTGATACTCTGAATTATAATCCTCTGTATAATTTAATCATTTGTTAACACCGTGTGAATATTAATAGGAGAAGGCATAGAAGCTCCTGTCATGTTTATTCTTCTGATTCTGAGTCTCTGAAATGTTTTCTTGTAAAATTGTAACTATAAATTTTTGTTGTACTCCTGATCTTCCAGCTTTTGAGTGTCAGTGCTATTGTGTTGGCCAACCTTTGTGTGTCGTACATTATGACCAGTCAAAATGAAGAGGTAAGCATGACCTACAATTTATTCACGAAATGAATTTCTTAGCTGGATAGTTTAAGTTTAAGTCAAATAGTTGTTTTTTTTACCAGTCATTCTAGAGATGAACCATGCGTGTTTGTCATCTTATAGGATTAATTGTACTTCCAGGCAGAAGAGCTGATGAGAAAAATTGAGAAGGAAGAGGAGCAAGTGGCCTATGAGGACCCTGATAAAAAAATCTACCACCTGTGTATAGTCAACTTGGTCATAGGGTAGGTCATGGGTCATTCATTGGGCGGGTAACGTGTCATAAGGTAGGTCATGGGTCATAGGGTAGGTCATGATCTGGGTGTTTTGAGGATGAGACTCTACTTGCAGAATTTTTGTCAAATTAAACAATGCATGCAATGATGAAGGTGCAGTGTGTGTGGTTTTCATAATCCTACTGTCTGTACTCTATCTGGTTTCTTTTCATAACATTTTCCATCTGTGTTATAACACAACTCTTTACACCGCAATATGCCTTAGTCAGGATTGGCCAACCCTTTTAAGTTCGCCTGCCGAATCTTGATGTCAAAGGTGCTCATGAGCTAAACCAAACACATTTTTGTGCCCATACGAATAGTTCTGTAACCTTTTCAAATTATCAAAGTCACGCAGTAAAAGTCAGGGAGTGTTGGTTGAAAAAGTGTGTATTGTTGATGTTGTGAGATGAATTGAATGTAAAATTAAAGATTATATTTCCTTGTTTATAGTGTGGCTATACCTTCATGCTTCACTCTAGCTGCCATACACTATGCAAAAACTTTTTTTAAAAAGAGAAAAGGATAAATCAAATAATTTTTTTAATTTAATTTTAAAATTATTTTTTATCAGCCTTAAGTTTTTCAATTCCTAAATCTTTAGTAACATAATTGATCACATAATATTTATTAAGGTTCAAGGAAATAAAAATAATCAAATTACAAGTTTTCATTGGTTTAATCTTTGCATTGATAACAACCTAAAGAAGAAGTTGAATGGATGTACAATTTTTTAATGAAAGCTGGGGGTGAAAAAATTTAACTGTGGCGCCTCATTTTGTGTGATGGGTTACTGATTGCCCATCTAAGTCTATTGTAAATAAAAATTAAGAAATGGGATATTTCAGTGGAGCAATCTTCAATGTAACTGTTTCTAAATGGAGGTGCTGTGAATGGAAGTCTGTAACTCGCCATGACATACTGAGTGCTGAATTGTTGTCTTTATATCCGTTTGTCTGCAGGACCTTGTATTGCGCCAAGGGGAACTACGAGTTTGGTATCTCAAGGGTCATCAAGAGTTTAGAGCCCTACAATAAGAAACTGGGCACCGACACGTGGTTCTATGCAAAGTGCTGTTTCCTTTCATTGATAGAAAACATGAGCAAACACATGATCATGATACGAGACTCTGTCATCAATGAATGTATCCAGTTCTTGGAGTGCTGTGAACGTGAGTCGGCTTTTAAACATTGCAGGCTTCACTTCTGTAAACATGACAGGCACTTGTTTTTATTTTCTCATTGATTTTTCAGCTATGCTCACTCATTATTTTACATCAATTCTGTGACATTCCCATAAGACATAATTTAAGTTTTGCCCCCCCCCCCCCCCCCCCTTTCTCTTCTTTCAAATTGTGTTAATAGAACTTCCTATATCTTAAATTGTGTATCACCTGTGTCATGATTTGGTGCTTATCATCTGTATCATGATTTGGTGTGTATCATGATTTGGTGTGTATCTGTGTCATGATTTGGTTTGTTTTTTTATTCTTATCAGTGTATGGAAAGGCAGTGAAAGCAGTTATTGAACAACCACTGGAAGAAGAGCCCATGCATCCTGGAAGGAACACAGTGGCTTATGAGGCACGTCAGCTCAAGTCACTTCTGCTACAGCTAAACTAATCATCTGCAGCTAGTTGATCAAGGATTCATATTTCTGTCATGTATGAAGGGGCTCATATTTTTTATGGCTGAAACATTGTTTCCAAGTCAAGACCTAAGGGGTTAAAGATCTTAGTCATATTAGCCAGCTGGTCCAGCTGTCCAGTTTATAAAATTTATTATATTTTATAATTTGCTTGTGACAACCGAAAGTGATTTTACAATCAAACCTTGAGTTTGGAATTTGCATTGTCACTCACTGATTGATGTATGGAACATGGAGGCTAAAAATATATCAATTTGTTTTCATTTTGTTGTTGATCCACTTTAAAAAAATTCATTCCACATTTTTATTTATTTAAGACAGAACTCAGTTTAAATTATTATTTACTTAAACAATAAATCTGGGATACAACTGTCAAATAAATACCGTGAAATCCATATTAATTTCACTCAATAATTTTTTGGTCAAATTTTTTTTCCATTGAAGACTTGATCCAGCTTATTGTAAATATACAAGTACTTTATTTTTTAAGAATTTTTTTTTTTTTTTACACATACAAATCCGTCCATTTCAAAACCAATGTAGAAAAAAGTGTCAAATAAAATACTGTGATAAGTTATTCTGTCTTACTTTAAGTTTAAGCATCTCTCTTTATAAAAAAATTATTGCTATTGAATGCTATTGTTATTTGTTTTGGTTTTACAGTTACAATTCTTTGTTACTACATTTTCATGAATAATGAAAGTATAAATAGTTGAAGGCAGTGTAGTAAAAATATGAATGGGTAATCTCTTTGTATCTTTGGCACACAATTTACACACTTGTTTTCATGCAGTTGTTAGAAAAATGTATGCTTAAAGACTATGGTGTAACATGGGTTGCAATCAGCTGGAAGGCACACATTAAACACCTTAGAATAAAGATTTGCACTTAAATTTATTCAAACTTCTTTCCAATTGAAAGTTTATAAATATTATATTAGTTTAAAACACAGCATGCTGTTAAAAATACAACAATATTCGATACAGATTTTAAATTTTTTTTGTACAAATCACAGTTGAAACAAATTGTCCATTATCTCACTGCTTTAGAAAGTTGGTTCCTTAATATAATACTACTTTTTCAGATGAAAAGACAGTAATATAAGTTATGAAGCATTTTTCTTTTTATTGTAGCATTTTTCTTTTTATTGTAGCTGTTTAGATAAATTTCACACAGCTTCACATAACAGAAGAAATCAAAATACTGTTGTAGTTTCAATGAATAAGTGACCACTCATTTCTTTCTCCTTTCATAGAGTTTGTAAAGTATGTCACTTTAAATGTTTATGAGATGGTTACTTTATTGCTACGTCTTTAAATGCCAACCTGGGCTGTATACGAAAAAACAGACCAAAAAATAAGCTTGCAAATGCATGTCAGTCAGTAAGGTATATAAATAGATTAAACTGCTACTACAGAAAAAAGGGCGATTTAGTCTAATATAATATTAAATAAAAACTCTTCTTCCAATATTGATATCTAAATGATGAAGACTTTTTCCATTTACTTAAGTTTTAAAACATTTGGATGTTCTTATAAAATTATGACTCCAGAAAATGCCGCCACAAAATTTATTTCTGCAGTCATCTTCATAAATTTAATTACGGTTAAGGAAATCTCTTTAAAATGCAGGTAAAATGAGTATTTAGTGGTCATAAAAAATATGAAACCAATAATAAAAAAATTGTCTTAAAAATTTGACATCCAGAAAAAAATTGTACCATACAGAATTAGAACAAAAGTTAAGTTAAGCAGTTGAAGTGATTCTCCAGATCATAACTGTACCTTCCACTTAAAATATCTCAAGTTTTGGCTACTACTTGGGAATCTTAACAAAGTAACTGGGTGTGTATAGCACTAAAGTTCTTGATGAAACTTCTCACCAACTGGTTGGGCAATTTTAATGTTATCGCCTGGTTTAATGGTGAAATCCTGAGACATGCCATTAAATTGAAGCAACGTTTCCTCCTGGGGATGGTTCACATAAAACAATTAATACAGCAAAAGCCTTCTACAATTAAAATTCAAAACTAGAAAGAAAAGAACAACGAAAAAACAATACAGGCCAAGGTCGTATTCAAAACTACAATCAGCTTTGATTGATATATGATATACAAGCAGAAGTATAAATGAATTGGGATAAAGAATAATTTCAAGAAATACACAATACGGGATACATTTCAAAGCTATAGGATGTTGTAAAGCAGGCCATGTCTTTAAATGGGCTGTAGTGCCACTGATAATGATTTCTATGCTATAAATGGAATTGTAGTGACATAAATATAGGCATGTCTATTTAAATTTGAAACAAAAGGATATCCATAAAAATTCAAACTTTGTAACAGAGAAGTTAATACTCCAGAGATCCTATAAAAATTTAAAATTATGAAAAGGGCCCAGTTGGGAGGTGGATGTTTTCCTAACATTGAAATTCAATATTCTTTCATAGTATTTGCAAACCTCTTTGTGGGAGTCTGAGCTACCGGCACACAAATGTAAGACTTCCAGACAGATGCGATGCGAGAGCTCCAAGTAAGTTGGGTGTCGTTCCTGACCATAATGTTTGATGAGCTCATCTGTCACCTCCAGTTGATGCTTATCTGCATTACATTGATTAAACAATTCATGGTTTGTTACCTTCTACTTTGAGAGAACAGGAGAAAGAAACTTTCTACTCATCCAGCCTCCCATAAACACCCCAGCCCATCCCCCACCAATGGCTTGTAAAGTGACATGCAAGTAAAGAAAGTTTAAAAAGATCTGGAATATTTGATGTTTTAAATAAAAATAAAATGCAAGGCTTGCACAGGGTATGTCACTCTATTTTATTTATTACCTAACTATTTTATCAACTTATCTTAGAAACATGCAAACAGTACAGGGGCAACAAATGTTGAATTAGTCAGGTGCATCCCATCATCCTCACACATGCTACATGTCATGCTACAACCAATTATACTAAAAAGTAATGATTTCAACTTTCAATGGAAGCTAGCAAGCAACGGAGATGAAATAATCAGAAATCTAGGCCTTAATGAAAGAGGATAAAATTAAGAAAACATAGCAAGAACTAAACTTTACAAATACATTGTGAAACAAATAAATATGACCATATCATTCTTTACCTGTGATGAATTTGCATACTTTTGTAACGAGCTTTGGGTTGTATTCAGATATGGTCATTTTGGATTCCTGGCACAACTTTTTCATAGCATTTTGGACCCTCTTCTCTATAGGTCCTTCCTTGTTTCTCAGTAATATTCCATTTAAAACTAAAGAATAGAAGGATGTAACCCCTTTTTTAAATTTGTAGAACACAGTGGAAAGGTGTTCACCTTATTTCAACAGTGATTTAATACAAAATAAACTAAAAAAATTATATACATTTTGTATTATTTGGATAAAAAATTAAATGTTTAAATTAAGTATGAACATCATAACATTGTGCTGCGCTGCTGTAGGTAACAGATTCCTCTAAAAATTTCAAGAAGTGAATGCACTTTAAAAAGTATTCTCTTAAATGGATTGTTCACTTGTCACAAGTATGTTCTGCACTGGACAATGCTACAATATGAACATTCAACTGTCAGCAGTGTGAGCCCAGTTATCACAGACGGACACTCCTGGGAGACATATGCATATGCTCAGGTGCTTTTTTTGCCGGGTGTTTTTGTGTCCTCGAGTGATGCGCTGCACAGATTATACATTAAGTCAATAGCATCTGGCATGTTTGGGTGTAAGCAAGTGTGCAGTCAATAGTTTTTCTCAAAATCTTTTAATGTGCTTTTCATCTCATTACTTTCTTATTTATTCTTTGGATATTGCTTAACATAAAAATTTCATAGTTACAGGATTGATTGGTTTTTATCATTTATAAATAAAATCATTTTTATTTAAACTGCTGAAAGTACATTCATAGCATTGATATTCTTTTATGGCATTTTGATGTGGTTCCTTAATTATATTTAAATTTATAAATTTCCAAAATCCAATTCATTTTGCTTGAAGAAAAAAATAGCTAGCTCTTTAAAGAAAATACAAGGACAAACCTTTAACAGTTAGTTGACAGCCACTACATCGCAACTCTGAAAGTATAAAGTGAAAATTTGACCTTATTTCATCATAACATAAAAAAGATTACCTGTTAGATTAATTTAAAATATTTTGTCTATCCACATTTGATGTCATGCCATACTTTTTTAAGATCCATTTCAATATACTAAACTAAAATAAAACTTACCACCCCAATGTGATGTTACCAATCTTTTACAAAAAAAAAGTACAATGGTAAAATTACATTATTATTATTTTTTTATCTCAGTCACATATTAGACAATTTTTACTTGTTTAATTATTTTGGTGATGTCGGCCAATATTTTGTGTTCATGTTAAACATGCCAAAAAGAAGTACAAATTTGAATTCTGCCAGTCTGCTGGATTAAATCATTATAGTGACCTTGATTTATGCTTGCAATCACATTACAAAATAAATTCATGCCTAAGAGGTTGGGGCCATCCATAAAATAAATGATTTCATGCAAATAGGGGAGGAGGGTGTCATGAATTGGTGATGATGTCTTAAAAGAAAAGGAAGTCTAAATTTTTTGACATATATCTGATGGAGGGGTGGCAGGGACGTTATTTGGGAAGGGTGGGGAGAGGGGAGCAGTGCCGACCCCCACCCCCTCCCAACCCTCCCGAATTTTTTGTTTTTATTTTTACTAGGTGTAACAGACCATCCTATCAAGTTTTCTTGTTATGTTTTTACTTTTGAGTATTTTTTGGACAACTGAAGTGTCTGAAGTATGCCCTGTTTCCGAGCAATATTATTTTTTTTATATTTCTGTTAGTAATTCATTTCTTTCATTTAATAAAGATCCTAGGTATCTGAATTGATTTACTTTTTCAAAAGTGTGGTGTTTAATTTTAATGGTTTCATCTGTCTGTTCTTGTCTTATCAATATAAAACGTAAACCACAATGTGACAATTCTTATTTAAATTGACATGTACTGTGGTGCCTTGCCTCCAGTAATTAATAACTCAACTAGCCGGCCAAGTTTTGGCTTTGCACATCCCCCATCTCCCTTTTTTTTGGTTAAAAAAAAATGAAATGAAGTTTCTGGGGAGTGGGGGTAAAAAAATGTGCCAAATTATATGACATCATGTATATACAGCCCCTAAATTATCTAAGCTATGTATTTAATACACTATATGAGAACAATTAAAATAAATTATAGGTGATCAACCCTTAAGAAATTCAAAACAGATTAACATGTGCTATATAATATACTATAAATATATTATAAATATAATAATACTTAATATATAGTATATTATTAAAAGACAAATGCCACCAACGGAGGTCATAAAAGGCTGAAAAATGTTCTGTGCAGCTTTGATTTCATCAAATTGCAGTCAAGATCATGTCACATCTTGTTATGTCAGTTTAATATGATCAAATGATGATGATGATTGAGTACTTTTATAGCGCTTGTGTGCTTTCTATTTTAGCATGCTCACAGTGCTCTGATGTCCTAAAATCTATTTAAAGAAAAAGTCTATATATTGTTTTTAAATGACTTTTTATCATTTTCGCTTTCCCTCAAAGATTGAGGCAAACTGCTACACAATTTAGGCGCAATAGCTTCAAAAGAGGGCACTCCATATGATTTCTGTCCATCCACACTGGGAACTTTCAGTAAAGAGTGTGTTGAGAAGAGCAGGCTCTGTATGTGTGCATGTCATGTTTAGAAATCAGTTTTTTGAAGATATACAGGTGCAGAGCTTTCCATACACCTATACGCCAGGGACATAAATTTGTGTTCAATGCGCTCACTCACTGGAAGCAAGAGGAGAACTTTAAGAACTGGGTTGATGTCAATGTGTTCAGATTTCTTTATAATATATGCGATACAATGCAGGTTGCAGTATTTTATACCTTCTGGAGTCTCTGAATTAGGTTTAGAGGTAAACCCCACAAAAAAATGTTACAGTAATCTAATCTAATCAAATGAATGCCTACGAACCCAAGACTTAAACTCCGCATTTCTTCCTCTAGTTGAAGCTTAAAGAACTTAAAGAAATAAATATAATTAAGTGATCATATGTTAATGACTCCCTTGACTTATTTTCTTTCTCCCCCCCTCCCCCCCCCCCCCCCCCCCCCAAAAGGTTGGTGCTTTTCTTTTTAATGATATTAATAGTAATACTGTAATAGCTTTGAAAAACGTGCATGAAACCAAGTGGTAATTTCTTGTACAGTAAAGTAGGCCTACAAATTATATGTTATGATTTTAAAATAGTTAGGTCTCATCATTGGCTGAGCATAATCATTGCCATGATTCATGATAATCATTTGGCATGGCTTATGTGTGGAAATAGTTAAGAAAAAGTATATCATTAAATTAAGTTTTACCAGTTGGAACATCATCAAAAAAATTTAAATCTTTAATATCTTCATTTGATGAGGCTGTTACTGTAAGATAATATATAATGCAAGGCAAAAGGAATGTTTTTTTCATTTTCCTTATATGAAGTTCACTTCCTTGGGCGCAGTTGTCCGGAAATGTTGTCATGGTGAAACTACCGTGAAACAACACATGCGCAAATTTTCAAAACAGAGTGGCATTAGATACCCTGGTACCTATAGCAGCAATTGGCTATTCAGATCCGGCCCGTCACGTGAGCAGGGCTACCACACCTTGGAAAATTTCCCAAGATCTTGGGAATTCACGACCCCCTTGGGATTTCGGGAATAATTTTTGAAAATCAGGCAAAACCTTGGGAAATCTTAACTGGGGGGAATATTTTATTATATTTTTCGAAAAAAAAAAAACCGCAACAATATGTGATAAAAAATAGAGTGAAAATAAAGCAAAATCATTTTTAAAGTAACAAGGCAACAAATTAATTGTATTAATTTTCTTTTCTGGTTTTAATTTTTTAAATCCACTCATCAAATAAATAAAAACTCTTCAATATTAAAGTAATATTATTGTGAATTGTTAAAAAGTTAATAATTAAAGAAAAATTCAATTTTCTCTTCTTTTTTTTTTAAAAATGAAGATTTACAAATTACATCCAGATTTTGAATGTTTATTAAATTTGGGGTGGGGGTAGGCTCGGAAACTTTATCATTAGGCTGTTAGACATTAGAAGCCATACGAAAAACAGTACAAGCCGAAGAGTGAACGATAGTGTTCAATCAAGAATCCATGCCATAGTAACATTTGATTATTTCAATTACTTCTACAATGTGTTCAAAATATAATGCATCTGTAAAAAAATCCAGCCTAATTTTCATCAATTGAAAAAAATATTAGTGGATTGAAACACAGGTAACTAAGATATTAAAAGTATAGGCCTACGTTTTAGGATTATATATGAACAATACCTTTAAAAGTATTTTTTGTTGTTAAAAAATCGTTATAATGTAAATTTACAAGAAAAAAATAGACTTACAATAAGAAAAATCATTTTTTGATGAAGAACCTTTTGCCCTTGTAAAAGGAATTCTGTGTTGATTAGCCTTGTAAGTTGTGTTTCCAAGTGACTAATATTACACATGTATTGTAGATGATATTTTTACCAGAGAATTCGGAGGTAATATTTAGTAGTCTAAATCCAGTGGGTATTGATATTTTGGATTATAAATAATTTTTTTAAAAACAAATTGATTGTTTCTTTTATGTGATAAACATTTTTTAAAATGTCTTTTTCAATAAATTTCAGTCAATTAATGTACCATGCTTTTCAGGGGCATTAATTCAATCTATTATTACATTAATTACATAGAAAAACCCCTTTAAAAAAACTCTTATATATTTTTATGATCTTGGGAAATCTTGGGAAATTAAAAAAAAGTGAGTGGCATTCCTGCACGTGAGGGCTTCATTACATTCGGTTGGTCACGTGACGGTTAAGACGGATACTTCCTGTTGGTTTGCCATTGTTATCAATGGAGAAATGTGCCATATTTTGAAGACTTCTATATTAAATATAGCGTTGAAGAAACACGAAGAACAATGTGGCGTACAGCTAAAAGCAAGTAAGAATATGTTTATGTTTATAATTTTATTGTATTTTTTAATTCTATTTTAAATATAGTTCTATAATCATTAACATGACATCAATCAAGATTCAAGATCAAACTTGCTTTTTTTAATTTGGCGGAAAATCGGCTACTGATACTGTCTTATCTGTTATTATAATGAAAACTTTGGCTGCGGCTATTCGGACCCGGTATCAGAAGTGTATACTTCAATTTTAATTCACCGCAAAAATTATTATCCACACTTCCCATAAAACGAATGTTCTTTTGAATAAAAAAACAATTAGGAGAGATCAGCCCGCGGCCGCCATCTTGGTTATCATGACCCACGAACTTATCTCAATGTCCTAAATGGGCTATTGTTGGGACTAATATCAATGACATCATTAGAGTGTTTATTTCATATTTGTGCAGGAGTCATTCCCCTTTGTTCATTTTAATGTTGGCGGAAGTGCTGATAACATGTTTCCTATTAAAATTTTAATTGGTTGATTATTTATAATTTTAAATTATCATTTAATTTAAGGCTGCATCTATATCTATGGTCGCCAATGACGCTTCGCACCCGGAGTGGCTCCGTACATATTAAATGGCTTCGGAGCTGGGTGTGATAGCAATAATAGTATGAGAATTATTTTTTTAAATTGTTTTTTCTCCTTGTTATTTCATTGATTAATAGTTTTATTCTTTTTAGTTGTTTTTTTTTATTTTTGCTTTGTTAATTTCTAATAGTACCGGTAGATTTTTTTCTTGCTTTTCTTTTTCTAGTTTAATCCATTTTCGTAGATCATTTTTTTTAAAAATCTAGTAATGAAGATGATTTTGATACATTTATTGTTTTCATTTGCATTTTAGAAAAGTAATAATATTAATTTAATTATTAAAATTAAATCCTTTATTTAAGATTATTTATGTGTATTGTTTAGGTTAAAAGATTTAATCACGCAGTACTTTATGAATTAATTAGGAATATAAATAATGAAAATTTCATTCATAATGAATTAATTTCAACTATTCCTCTAGAGAGATTGGCTTAGTCAGAACAAAACCACCAATTTTAAACCTTTTCCTTGGCACTGGGAGTCATACATGCGGACACTGACTGTTTTTCCTGATATCTTGAATCTCCTTTCAACAACCTTTCTCATTTGACTTGACCTAATTCACAAGGTAGTTGCAATGAACATCTTAAAGTTAAAGGATGCCATTGTATAAAGTATGAGAAAGAGACTTATTTTTGGAAGACTAGTCTTTTTTTTTTTTTACCATAGCTGTCTACTGGGTCTAACACACTGGTACATAATTTAAAATTTAATAGAAAAAAAACAACCTTAACTGACTTGAGAATATTTTTGTTTGGTTGTTAGTTATTTAAGTTGTGTACTCAAGTAATCCATAAAATAAATTAGGGGCCAGTATGGAGTAGGCAGCCAATAAACTCATTCAATTAGGTCACATCATTCCTTTGCCATTTGTCTCCTTTTACTTTCTCACCTTCCTTGTTGGTACCCGTACAGTTAACTATTGTTTGTATCATTTCTTCATTTAAGTACAGATGTAATGATTGAGTGGGAGCAAATATATGTGATCTGTGAAGGGAGTTTGGTTTCAAGGCAACTAAGTCATGCCACATTGAAAATAAAATACTGATAACCTAAATAAATAGAGCCATTGAAAAAAATATAGTACATACAAACCATACACAAACAGAAAGACAAAAATCCACTAAAGTTTTTTTTTTTTTAAATTTGTTGTGACTTTTATTGCAAAAAATTAAACATTTAATACCAATTTTGACTTTACGCAAAATGAATAAAGACAAATTTGTATTGCATTGTATTGTAACTTATTGTACTGTATTGTAAATGAAACTTGCCATACACATTAAGAATAACATTGAAAAAAAGTTTAAAGAAGATTATTACACAGCAGTTATTGGAAGTGTTACAAATGGCATGTATGTGGGGGTCACATAAATATTTGAGAACTCTTCAGGGGTATCAAATGTAAAAATGTTATAAAACTTTCTAGTTGGATATATATATAAAAGCCTCTTGAATTTCGTAAAGAATATCAATGAAAAGAAGCATGCAATGTTTGAAGGCTGTAGCTAGAATACGTTTCCTCCGGATTCATTTGGCGGTCCTAAAAAATCCAGAAAATGCAAAATTGAGAAAAATGAAAAAAAATTTATAAAATTGTGTTTTTTTAAAGTAGAGGCTGCATGAATGATATAGGATGCATACACCATGTACATATACCATTCATGAATTAAAAAACAATTAGAAAACTAAGACAGAAAGATAGAAAAAAAAATTAACTCACGAACCTAATAAATAAAATACATAAATACAAAAATTTGGAAAAATTTTCCTATGAGATATTTGTTTAAAAACCATCCATCATTAAGCAGAGAATTTCAATACAAATAAGAATGCAAAGTTTCAATTATGTAGTTCCAAAACTATTCCTCCTGATTCATCAATTGACATCAGAAAAAAAAAAATGAAAATGCTATATCGATAAAAGCTGAAAAAGACACTGACAAATGCTATTAAAAAAAATTAAAGGTTACTTGAACAAGATAGGATGCATACATCATGAACACATTCCACTCGTTAATTAAAAAACAATTTTAGTACATAGATATAATTGATAGAATATAAATGAATGCATTTTCTCAA